AATATCCAATCACACACCCTAATATGTAGTGATGCAATGCCTAACAAACATTTACGCATCGCCTATAAACTGATTCATTTCGTTACTCCCAGCCAGATTTAAGTTTCCAAACTCATATAATTTACCCATCAACTTTTACGTTTTATGAATAATCATAAATAAACCCAAGAACTTATAACAAATACTTTGATATAATCTCTGCACTTTGGGATCGTGAGAAAGTTGGATGACGATATAAACTTCGATGGCGTTAGAGAGCTTGACAGCGAGATATATACCCTGATTGCGTTGGAGAGCTGGACGAAAGGATAACTTAATCGATATTTAATTTTAAAATTTTTATCTGAATGGCAGAAGAGGAGAAAGAAACTGTGACGCACCTTATTATTTAGAATTAAATGGTTTAAAGGGTATTCTTGTCGAATCTTGTCAAAAAATATCTAAAAATAGTTAAAATTATAAAGAATGCTTTTTTTGAAGTGATCTTATTATGAAGGTCATTTCTTACAATTTCTTCAAATATCTAAAAAAGAAACCACTGAAAACTAATAAAATGTATGAAAATCCTCATAATTTTATGTGTTTTCTTTTTAGAACACGTATGCCATTTTTACCTACTTTATACCAGGAGCGGAGCTAGAGCATTTTTAATGGAGGGGCCAAATAGAAAGAAATATTAAACAATCAAATAAAACTTTATATATAATTTAATTATCACTTATCTAAAAGATTAAATAAAATTCACAAGATATTAAACATATAAAAAATGTACATTAACAATAATGAAGGTGTTACATATATATATATATATATATATGACTGAATGAAATCATGAAAGGAGTCTTTCTCTCTCTCTACACACACAAAAGTAGAAAAAAAATAATTTTTCTTTGTCAAATGAATTGTCTCTTTACTTTGTGTGTTCTGGCTCTCTTCTTATTTTTTATTTGCCTCTTAAATTACTAATTAACAGATTGAGTTATTGGGTAGAACTATTGAGATATAATATGTTATTATAGCCTATTAGGTTAGACTGCTAATATATAATATATTATGATAAGCTTATATTTATATTAAAACTTAATGGGTTAGGATTAGCATACTCATTTTAGTATTTTTTTAAATTTGATAGACTTAACATATTAGTTTAGAATATATTTGTTGGGCTTGACTACCAATATGCTAACAACAATGACTCTAATTTTATCAAACAGATTGAAAAATAAAAATAATTATTAAATAAAAAAATATTTTGAGAGCCGTTAAAAACATATAGTAGATAAAATTGTATTGAAAGAAATACAATTATTTTATTCTACCAATTTATATATATATATATATATATCCTTGTTATTTAAATTTTGCAACATATATGTTAGAATGCATTGGTTATTCTAAATAAAAAATGATCTATTGATGAAATTTTACACTACAACTTATATTTAAGAATTATACAATAATTTATTTATTTTTAAAGATTAAAATTATAAAAAATAAAATCAACATAACAGAAAAAAAAAAGAACATGATAAGTAGAAGATAGAATCCACATATGATATAATAAAAAATAAAAAAAAAGAATATGATTGATGGTTTATAAAAACTTGTGAAAAAAAAATCTATAAAGATGTAAAATATATGAGTAAATAGAATAAAAATAAATAAATATAAATAACAAAATAAATTAAAAAATAAAAATAATATTAAAATTGAGTCACCTATATGAAATTATTTAATTTTTTATTTTTTTATTTGTATTAATTATTAAATAAAATATATTTTGGGAGGTTATTAAGAAAATTTATTAAAAAATTTATATAATATGTAAAAAAAATATTAATTTTGGGGCCATGGCCCCCATCACATAACGAGGCTCCGCCTCTGCTTTATACCGTGTATTTACTGAAACCAAACGTCTGATGCTGGATAATAAAATGAAGAAGCTGAAGCGGTGAAAAGGACAATACTAAACATTTTCCTTGAGAAAGAGAAGCGATAAGATTTACCTAGTTTGGTAATAGACCAATGGCAAGATTATTTTCTGTTACAGCTACGTTGGACTCCTACAAGCGCAAGATAACAAGATAAGGTTGTCTGCGGGACTACCGCTTGGTGGCAAGGGCAAATCTAAAATCTTGAATCTTCTTCTGCCCTCCCCTATTCCCCAAACTAACTTCTTTTTTAATAAAGAAGCTGATCACTGCTACTGCTGTGGTTGGATCAAAAGTACAACATAAAGAAAAGAAAATGTTAGGTGCGCTCACTGCTTCAAGTCTAACACTGGGTCTGGGTGGTGCGCCTGCTCCATTCACCGCCCAATCCGGCAATGGTGGCGCTGCCAAAACCTTAGCGTTGCCCACCTCCAGCAACAACAATCGCACTCAATTGTTGATTAAGAGCTCATTCACTTCCACTTCCAGGACCACACCATCCTTTAGGACAGCCGTTGCTGCAGTTGACTCCGACCAGCTCACTCCCGACCAGGACATATTCTCTCTCTCTCTCTCCTCTCTCTCTCTCTTGTTTCTTAACCGCCGTCTATCAAATATCAAATAGCTGCATTAATTGGGTCTTTGAAGCATCCTATATACTCTGCTGTGTCTCTGTTTGATTACTGTGTAGATATAATTAACTGCTTTTCATCAGGGAGAATAACTCACATTTGCCTTACTCATAGTATTCCCGAACCATTTTATAAGTCTTTTATGCACCCATGCATTCCCATTGCCTTCTTCCTTACAATGCAAAATAACTAGCTCAGCACATTTAATGTGGTCATCCTCAATAATCACAAAAATGGTTGGTAAAGCTCGGGCCTTTGGGGTATAGGATCAAGTAGGAACAAGGGTGCTATTTTATGTACATAATTCAACAGGAAAGACTTGCTGCTTGTATTACTATTGGAGCCAGCTGCCAACAGATTTTATCTTTTCATGTTTGATTGAACAAAGTCATTTTTTGTTATTGTTGATAAAATTCCTACCAAGGCCAAATCTGTTTCACAATATCAATAACGCTTGAGACACTCTTGTTTTAACAAGCGGCAATGAAAAGCAACACATCATTCACGATTCAAATATTCTCCCTTCAAATTGTCTCAAGGTATCACTTAATTCCCTGGATTTCCAAAAGCCCATAACCTTTCATAATTAAGTAAAACCAATATCAGGAAAAAAAATTGGAAATGTGACCTTATAGATAGATGCTTATTCTTCAAATGAGAAGCCAGTCTGATGATTGTGAAAGGATTCCTCTTATGAAATAGCTGAGGAGGATGCTTTTTCTTTCATTATGATGGTGTAGATCTTCTCAAAGATCATGCTCCATTCATAAATAGTTTCAAAGTGCTGTGAGATATTATGAGTGCCAAGAGGCCGTGCTGTAACTATTTTTTTTGGTTGTATGGCTTTACACATTCTCATTCTGAAATTCTTCTTATGTTTCAGCAACAAGCCAAAAAATACTATTTTGTTGTTGCAAATGCGAAGTTCATGTTGGATGAAGAGGAGCACTTCCAAGAGCTCTTGTTTGAGAGGCTGCGGAACTATGGAGAACGCAATAAAGAACAGGACTTCTGGCTTGTCATCGAGCCCAAGTTCTTGGAAAAGTTCCATGACATTACAAAGAGGTTGCGCAGGCCCGCTGTCGCTCTGGTTTCAACTAATGGTCCCTGGATTACGTAAGACTCAGACCCAAAAAATATATATGTTTTGGTTTTAGATTCTTTTACGTCATCTTGTTCATACTTCCTTTATGCCTGATGCATAAAATCCTAATATCAAAAGATGGAATTAATGCCAAGACTAGTATTTACACTAGTATCATTTGCTTGACAACCATGGTGAGGACTTCCAGGAAACAGTAAATGCCTACAGTGGAGCAAGTACCAGAGGTAACCTCAAAATTGATACAACTACACATGACTCAAGTGTACTTGAATCCTTAGTGCCTTTGTCTGGGTGGTACAGTCATACTCTGGTACGATAAATCATATTTCAAAACGAAAAGAAGGGGGGAAAGAACCATACTCCAGCTTGTCTAGTTCTTTGCTGTGTTGATAGCTTTAATTTTGACAATGCCTGCAAAAGTGCCTCTTAGTCTACAAATGACTGGAAAGAAACCAATTCTCTTCGCCTTAGGTCTAACATAAACACAATTACATACCAAAGAACATTTACGTGAGTTCATACCCTTCTGAACTTTTTATTAGTATGACTTAGCAATTGTTTTAAGTCACATGGTATAGCAGGAGAAGACTTTATTAACCTTTCCGTTTTATAGAAGTTACCATATATAAGTCATTTTGTTGCATGGTATAAAAGTTAAATTCATCTTTTTGCTTTGCATTGCTTGGCAGATTTATGAAGTTGAGGTTGGACAGAGTTTTATCAGATAGCTATGAAGCTGACAGTCTTGAAGAAGCTTTAGCCTCCAATCCTACCACTCTGGAGTTTGAGAAGCCAGAAAACTGGGTGGCACCCTATCCAAAGTATGAATTTGGATGGTGGGAGCCCTTCTTGCCAAATGCAGTTAAAGAATCTAAAGTATAGCATAATTGGCTCTCGATTTTTGTGTAGTTGGTTTTGTTTCCCTAACAGATTAAGGATTGTGATTGTGATTGCATATGAGTTGGTACTTTGTAGAGACAATTCAAAATTTATAATTGTGGAAGTAACTGCCAAGCTAATATCTTAACTCCAAGCATCTAGATCTTTTCAGAGGTTTTCATTCCAAACTTTTGACTGGAATCTCTTGGTTCTCCCTTTCTTGAGGGATCGAGTATTAGTTCAAGAGCTGTCTACAAAAGGAGTGCAACTTGCTGAAGCTCTTACAATGAGACCTTCTAAAATAGCTCGAGTCCTCATGTTTAAGGAGTATATGCCATGCGACTGAAGGTTTGTGCCTAATTCTGCTACTAGTCGCTTTGCAATAGATTACCAGAAAAGGCATAGTATATCTTTTTGCTTATTGTCATCTTCTCTGTTAAGAGTTTCACATGTTTGTCTAAAGTACCAAAGAATTTCAGCTTGGCAGGGTACAATCAGGTGTATAACGTATGAAATGTTTCTTTGGTCTGGGTGTAAAGAAATAGAATCCGTATGAAATGTTTCTTTGGTCTGGGTGTATAGAAGTAGAATCCGTAGTGCGATTTGAGCGGATGATTCTCTCATCTAAGCCGGAGTCCCTAAAAGCGCTGTAAGAAACCATGGCACATAATCCGTATGAAATGCTTGCCAATGGTACGTTGCCCAACAAAAGAGCCCAACCCAGTTAAAACTGGCAAATTATAGACCGGAAAAATATAACATGGATTGTAACTTTATCACCAACAGGCCATGTATGCTGAGAAATGTAGAGCAATTAAAATAGGATAAATTACTAAGAAATGAAAAGAAATGGCATAACTTGAACAAGTCCATATCGTGGGCATCGGCATCTGATCTCTTATCTAAGCTGTATTTACTATCCCCGTTGCCTTGACATGATTAGTGCTAAGCTGTGTTTACTATCCCTGTTGCCTTGACATGATCAGTGCTGCTCGTGATGGAAAAGAGATGCTGGGAGTTTCCGGAGAACCTTTTCATCTATAACTGCGCACTAACTTTTCCCTGCACGGGCATCTACGGTATCCTCATGTTTCTCATATAGCATGGCACCGTCAGCAGCATTACAAACAGTGCACCAACAGCGGAGAGCAGAATCAGAACGCATCATGTTAGTGGACTGTGTTCGCAGCTTAATTTCATCAGCTTCGAAATTAATTGAAAGGCAGAAGACGTAAACCTTGGTAAGCCTTTATTTATCAATTACCATAGAAATAACTAGATGGAACCCCACCCAAGTAAAAGAGAGTCAAAAAACTAAACCAGCTGCCAACAACCTAGAGAGCCCACAAGGCCACAATCACCTGCAAAGCTCACAACGAAAACCTGATGAAATATATTTCTTACTTATTGCTACAAGACAAGCAAAAGCAATAGGTTGATGCTGAGGTACAGAGAGAAATTTCTTCAAATCCTTCCCAGAAGCAACATCCCGAAAAGTTGTGGATGCCCGGTTAAATTCACTTCTCAGCAAAAGGGCAATCTTGAAAAACAGATCCTGTGGCAATGTAACTTTAGGGAATTCTGGCGGAGACCTATTTTAAAATGTGGGGAAGAAAAAGTATAGTTTGGCGATATATATATATATATATGTATATATATATTCCATCCAAAAATGCGAGAACAAAAAAAGTCACCATTACTCTCATAAATCCCATCACTGCGGAGCTGGTTGAATATTAATGCTTAACTAATGCGTTTGATGTTCCGTTCAGAGTTACACATCATCTCCCACATATTCTTAAACTTTATATAGAAGGCAAGTTAAGCGCTTATTGGGACACGCAAAAAGGCTCTGCTCATTGTATGTATACAAGGCTGTGTAATGAGGAATTTAAACCATTACTTGGGGGATTTAAACCAGGCATCACTGGAAAAAAGCTTGACATCTGTAGCATATAGAGAAAAATATGACATAAACAAGCTATATATATATATGGGATGCAAGAAATTGAAAGTCATTTTTGTTGGCACAATAAAGATACCAATGGCTGGTTTTAAACTCCAGGTGCCTACTCTAGTAGCATCAGTACTCCTAAAATCAATAAAGGAGGATAATATCGAGAACATTTTAGTTGGGCAACATAAACAGGAGGAGTAATGATTTTAAAGATGCAAAAACACACAGCGAATGCCTGGGCAACTAATAAAGGTAAGAAACTTACATATTGAAGAAGGAGGCTAAATCGGACCATAGGAACAATGTTGCGAAAGAGAGTCAGGGAATGACAAACAAAGGTAAGCAAGTGATAACCTATACCCTCAAAAGGAAGCCATATCACCGTTGCACCGGCAAATATGCCTGCTGAGATCTGCTTGTTTCGCCATAGTACAATGTTGGCGGCTGAAAAGGACTGTTGGCAGCTTTTATGACAAATGTGGATTCAACAAAACAAATGACCTATCTCCTATCAACAATGTTATAATGAACAGAAGCTGATATTTATATTCATTCTGCGTAGAGTCCAGAGCATTTTTAGAGTGTATAACTTGTTCCGTTATGGATGGACTGCAATTCAATCAACTAAGATTTGTAATTAATACCCTATTTTCCATTTCCCCCGCTCCCTTCAGCGAACACCAGAAAATTTGCTTTCTAATCTAACTTGGGGTTTGCGTTTGAGTTTTATTTCCTTTAGTGTTTGTCGTCTTCTTTTTCTTTTTTTTTTGTTTTTCTAATCAACGCCCCAGTTTTGCAGTTAAAGCGAAGGAGACTTTTCCACAAGAAAATAACTAAATTTCACTTTGAAGCAGTTCCGTGAGATATTAATAATAGTAATGATGCGACAAATGGAGCACCGAATGAAATGGATGCTGTAACCTAATCAGATTGGTTTGCATGGTGATCATAAGAATAAACCATTGATATAGAGCTGAAACATACTCCGTTTAATGTAAAAAAGAAAAACAGATTACTCTAATAGGCAGCTGGGAGGAGATAGTTTCGTTGTCCACCACCAAGGACCACATGAAGAGGCTTCTCACGACCAAACAAGCGCTTATTGGAGGTGACAAATAAGGAGGCGTATTTGTCAATATCAGAGTCAGAGGAGGATGACTGGTTCTCCTCTTCCTTGTTCAGAAAATCAGAATTTACTTCATCCGCCGAATCCTGCATGTTTACCTACAAATGTTACAAAGAATGTATCAAACTGTATAGCAATAAAATGGTTCAAACTTGAGATGGTACAGAGAGACAAGTGAGAATTTGTTTCTTGCCTCTCTTTTTTTATTATTAATCAAAGGCAAGGATTACCTCCTACTTCTTCTGGCGGTTCCCTACGTGCAACTGTGTCTTTTGTCTCTAGGAAACTGAAAATTTCAAAGGCAGTTATAGAGTTTACGATTTCTCAGGTTCTTGCGCCCTGTCATCGCAGCAAACTTTAAGGATGCTTGCAATTCTGAGGACATTTTTCTGCTAGGAATCATGACTCAAATCTCCAATAGATTTTGATTGGTTGGAGATATTGTTTTGTTACAATAAACACCAATTAATTATCATCCAATAAACACAAGTTTAATTAATCGTAAAATAAATCATACATTAAAAAAAATTTAAGTTGGTTTAACATTTCGATTTGTCTGTATCCATGAAGGATGAAAAATCAGATGCGCTAGACTATAAAGCACATATAAATCATCAACTTTCAAACTCAACTCATAACCAATCCATAACACTTTGACGCGAAATATATAATCCCAAACTCTAAACACATTCACACTCACCCTTCATCTAATTATGAGGTGTCCACGCATTTAATCTTGTAAATCTTAACTTTTTCTTCCATATTTTTCTGATAAATATCAGAGGGAAGTATATGGCTTCTATAGCAATGTCCCAACTCAAATCGGTGTCATCTATATTAAAATAGACTATTCTACATGACAAACCTTTCATTGGTTATGCTGAAAATTGTAATCATTGATAATTGTTCGGCACTACTTTTTTCAACAAAAGCCGGTTATAGATCAATCAGGCGATATGCTATCTTTTTGGCATACATATGATAAAACACAGGGACTATATATGCTGCTGGGCAAACAATAGTCCAAGCGATTGGAGATATATCAACTTCCAAGTAATAAAAAGCAACAAATAAATCTTATTCATAATTCATCTCCTTAGTCATATACACCAACTACAAGAGAAAAAAAAAATGGGAACAAGAAATATGGAAGATGTAGGCTTGCAGGGAGCACGCAGCTTCCCCTATAACAGTCCCCAAAGGCTATTCTGCTAGACAGAACTTTACCTGAAAAAATCAAAACCATCTGTTCTCTTATTTTGTTTCATAATGTTGCGTTGCCTTCATGTTGAACAAGTCTAAAAGAAAAGCTCACAACTTCTTCACCAACAGATCAACTCCATTTTCTGGCTCTATTACCAACCTAAGGGCAGGAGAATGGTTGTACTTGGGAGAAAGGGAGAATGAGAAGTTGGACAGAAGAAGAGACATTAGTACTTTCAGTTCAACCATGGCCAAGTTCTGTCCAAGGCAGACCCGAGGGCCAACCCCAAATGGCATGTACATTTGGGGAAGCTTACAAGCACCTGTTATCCCGTTTGCAAATCTCTCCGGGTTGAATTTGTAGGACTCAGGACCCCAAATTTCAGGGTCAGTGTGCAATGTCAACACCATGGTCCAAATGTTCACACCCTCCGGAACAAGAATGTCCCCAAATTTCATATCCTTGAAGGCTTCCCTTGACACCACAGCTACTGGTGGATATAGTCGCAATGATTCGTGAATTACCATAGTTAGCTGCATTAAAGAAAGGATCTCAAGGTTACTGTTATATTTTTTTTCCTAAATAACACCAGACCAAAGACATTGCAGTCTGTATATGAAGCACACTGTAACAATGTCAAAAGCCTTCACTGTCCTAGTTAACCATGTCAGTGTCACAAGCGAGTAGTTGTAATAATTCATACTGATACCTGTTTCATCTTGCGAAGCATGTCAGCATCTGGAATACGACCTCCTCCACAAACTTCTAGAACCTCTGTCCTCACACGATCCTGCCATTCTTGATTGGCAGCCAAAAGCATGAGGCACCAAGTGGCCGAAACGGCGGTAGTCTCATATCCAGCCAAGTATATGTTCTTGCAGTTATCAACTACGAACCGATCAGTCGCTTCTTGACTGAGCTCACTGTTTTTAGCACCTCAAGCACCATTTGCAGTAAGTCCTTCTCGTATGCAGCCTCCTTTCTCTCCTCACACCTGCAGTATCAAATCACGACCCTCTTTTTCTAGTGCCCAAGCTTCTCTGTTGCTTTTTGTGGGAAGATACCTGTAATGAGTAGTCAAATAATCAATAAAAATTTTAATACAAATTTAACAAGGGGTATTGCCAAAGATATCTGAGTTGCTTGCATGACTATTTCAGTGAAGACAGGAAATTGCACAAGAATGCTCACCTCATTCCAGGCACGCCAGTGGATAGACTTTTCTTGGACATGGCCTCCTGGAGAGCTCTTAGTTTCAAGAAGATTTCTTCTCCTCTAGAATAATTGCTTCCGAAGCAGGCTCTTGAGATGACATCTCCAGAGAAGCTTCTCATGTACTCGTCAATTTTGATGTCAGCGAGTCCACCCTCGGCCTCTATTCTGCTCTTCCAAGAGTTGAGCAGTGTAAATGTCGACTCAATAATTAGGTTCATCATTCCCTACAAGAGGTTTCAAGTCGATGAGTATCGTACAAATTACACAACACATACGTGTAGTATTCAACTATTCATATATTTAGCGATCATACCTTAACCTTGTCCATGTATAATTCAGGAGCAAGAATTTTCCTCTGATGAGCCCATGCAGTCCCATTTGAAGTTAAAATGCCCTGACCAAGCAAAGGACCACGCTCTTTGTGCTGATAGGAAGGCTTCCCCAAGGATAAGGACGTGCATGTGGTAATCTCTCTCACCGCATCAGGTTGATTCACAAACAAGATTTGAGTGTTACCAAGAGAAAACACAAATACTTGACCTGCCAATGAATGCAACAATATATGGGTCGACATTCAGTCATATGGTCGTATTTCAGTTCAAAATGATGCTACTAGCACAGGAAGATGAACACTAAGAAAAAGTGAGGAAGTCAAGCATAACTCCAGCATTATCGGTTATTATTACTATGTAGGTAAATTAGTGCAATGCTTGAGCATCTGCTGTAATTAATGGATCGTCGGGTATTCCTCTGACAAATAGATATACATGATAGAATTAATTGTAAACGCGCATGCAACGCATACCATACTGTTTCCTCCATTGCTCAAAGAATGGAAAGAGAAGTGCAGCGCAGTTGTGAGTAGCAGGGGGTTGCGTGCTCGGAGTCTTAACAACGTTGGATTGGGCCTTCTTAATCTCTCGAATGTTTCCAAGCAGCAGAGTTGGAGGCGGTCCTTTGATGCCTTGCCTGCCTAGTCTTGCTCGAAGCTTGGTTGGCTTCACTACCAACCCATTATACAGACGTATAAACAATCCAAAGAAAGCAAGAAGCACAAGAGCAAGAAAAATCTTGACATAAAACTCAAGCTCCATGGCCAAACTCTTATTATTCTGTGAGACTTTCTTCCCTCCAGGCCACCCACACCAAAAAATGCGAAATGATTTCTATCCTGGGTGTGGATGACTTTGGCGATTGTTTGGGTGCAAATTGACTTATATAGGGAACCAGGTAGGATGGTTTGGTCGTAAAGAATAAACAGAATATATTTTGCGGAATGTGAATTGAGACATAAAGACTTAATGTGAGGTCTGGTCAATGTTAGTTGCAGAGTGAGAATACTGAAACAGCATTAATTAGTCTTTTTTATTATTATATTATATAAAGAAAAGTCTTCAAACCAATAGGCAAGGCAGCTTGGTCTAAAGATAACTTTTCCCTTGGTTGGACATTCAGAAAATTTAGTTTGCTTTACTTGCAATTGCAATGGGGGGTTCCATTTTCACATTTTTTAAAAGTAATGTAAACTTGGGATTTATTCTCTTATGTCTGTACCGTGGCCCATAAGCATATTGACTCTTGGAGTTTGCAGTCCAAGTCTTCAACTAACTTGATCGTGTGAAGCACGCTCAAGTTCCTTCCCCGCTCTCTCTCGCGGGGTACTCGCATACTTTACATCCACACACATCAAGTTCTCACTGCTTTTTCTCTCTCTCTCTCTCTCTCTCTCAGAACAGAAAAGAAAAGAAATGCAAGTTGAAGAGCAGATTCAGGCCCATTGATTCGGAAATAAGGAGTAATTAGCTAAAGATAGCAGGGTAGGTGAAGTCCCAGAATTCCAGAGGCCAGTGATCCATGTTTGAACGAGCTAGCTTCTGCCGTTAAATTAATGAGTTTGTACCTTTCAAAAGGAAAAATTAATGAGTTGCATGTAACGACGGTCAAGACTGGCCAACCCTATCCCACAGAATTGGTTGGCCATTTTGGACCTTGTTATCATCATTATCATTACCGTTATCATTATCATGGTACAAATTAAATTTTTTCCTTTGTTTCTATGTGATGCAAAATCAACAGGATGATGTAATGAGCAATCATTTTCCCAAAATCCTATTGGTTATCGTCCGTATTCTTAACAGATGAATCCTTGCTCCGCTAGCAGTCGCTGTGCCAGAGGACCAAAGAAATAATTTTGTGTTTAGAATTTAGGAAATTAAGTGAGAAGACAAGTAACATTTTCATTTCTCAATGCCACTGAAACTATTTTCTCTCGCAAATAGTAACAATTAAATTTCTGTGATTAGCATTATGGTGGGCACGGAAATTTGGAGCATCATTTTCGCTATTTGTTGGCGGGCGTGTTTCCTCCATAGTCCATCACTCATTGTAGATAGATAAAATCATGCATATATAAGGATGAGTTGCAAAATTTTTATGGCGCATATATATATATATATATATATATAAATATATAAACACACACATATATAAACCAAGTAACTCTAGTTGAAAATATTTCATCAAATATAATATATAGTTGAAAAATGTTTCTTGCGTTTAGACCAGAAAAAGAGTGGAATTTATGGAATTATCTAGGATGCCCATCTAGAACGTAACAACTAAGGTTCAACACCGCAATTAAGAAATTACGCTTCTTGGTCAAAATATGACTCCTCGCTTTCATGGAATGAATGAATGTATTTGCCTAACTTTTGAAGAAAAATGAGATGAAACAAAACAGATATCAAAGTACTGTATGGTATCATATTTGTAGTCAACACTCAACAAAACAAATTACATATAAAACAAGATTCATGATCTATTTATCCAAAAGATAAAAATTTGGGCTGCACCCTATTTAAAATTCCCAAAGCTGTACAAATTTTCAAGGGCCAGCAACCCAAAAGGTAAATGCCTTGTTGGAGCCCAACTACCCGCCAGAAAAGTGCCCATCATTTGAACCGCCAAACCCAGATTGAGGCGGCCATTTTTCCAAAACCCAACAAACCCCATTTGCCTTGTCGACTTGAGGATTGAGATGCATTTCGATTTCCATCGTCTTTCATCTCTCTTCTCTGCTGATTTGCCTCGCAGTTGAAGAGCATACAGTTTTGGATTAATTCTAGGGTTTAAGATAGTTGGGGAAATTGGAGAATGGAAGCAGTGGCCGAAGGGCTGTGGGGACTGGCGGATTACCACGAGAACAAGGGAGAGATAGGGAAGGCGGTCAAGTGCTTGGAGGCAATCTGCCAGTCCCACGCCTCCTTCCTTCCCATTGTTGAGGTCAAGACTCGACTCCGCATAGCCACTCTTCTGCTGCGCCACTCTCACAACGTGAACCATGCCAAGTCCCACCTGGAACGCTCCCAGTTGCTCCTCAATGCCATACCTTCTTGCTTCGACTTGAAGTGCCGAACTTACACTCTGCTCAGCCAGTGCTACCATCTCGTTGGGGCCATCCCTCCTCAGAAGCAGATCTTGTACAAGGCTCTTCACCTTACTTCTGCGGTTGATCCCGAGTATGCTTGCAAATTCCTACTTTAACGTTCCTTTTTATTTTCTCTTTTGGGAAGATAATTTACTTTTGATTAGATAATTGGGTAATTACCTTTTTACTTGCTAATAGAGTAAATTAGTACTAATATTACACACCTTGCACTCGCAGTGTGTCGGTCAAGTTATGGTGCTGCAACTTCAATTCTCAGTTGGCAAATGCTCTGATTATTGAAGGAGACTACCAGAATTCAATCTCCACTTTAGAATCAGGTTATGTATCCGCTACTCAAATTTGCTATCCGGAGCTTCAGATGTTCTTTGTGGCTTCTATCCTGCATGTCCGCCTCCTTATGCAATGGGATGATCAAACTGCGGTTGAGGTTGAGCGAGCTCTTCACCGATGCGATCAGGTCTGGGAGACTATTCCTTTTGATAGGGTAAGTTAACGTCGACCCTGTCTTCTTTTTTTTCCTTTTTTCTTTTATGCCTCCTTGTTAATCATTTATGGTATGCGCATTTTGTACTATATAATACTAATTCCTTTTTCCTATCAAAGAGAGCCCACTGCCTGGGTTTACTCTTTTACAATGAGCTTCTCCACATCTTCTATGGACTTCGTGTCTCCGATTACAAGAATGCTGTCAAACACGTGGAAAAATTGGATGCTGCTATCAAGCAAGATTCCGACAACATGCACCAACTGCACCAACTCACCCTTGAGCTTAATGCCCTGAATCAAAGTCTCTCCCGGTCCGACTTACCCTCCAGGGAGAGGTCTGCTCTCTCTGCACGACAAGGCCGCCTTCAGGGACAGCTTACCCATATCTCTACTACTACCTCATCCAGTTCAGCTGGAAATGATACCCTTGAACCCACATATTTTGGAAATGCAAAACGGGCACTGCAAGATAAGCTTCTCCTTGCACCGCCTCCTATTAATGGGGAGTGGCTGCCAAAAAGTGCCATCTATGCCCTTGTTGATCTTATGGTCATCATATTTGGCCGTCCAAAAGGAAACTTCAAAGAGTGTGAAAAACGAATTCAGTCTGGAATGCATATCATTGAAGGTTTGTTTTTGAAACTAGGACCCCAGTCTGTGTCTTTGCTTTCATGAGTTGTCTTCTTTTACAATCTTTCTATGAGGACAAGAGAAAAGTGGAGCAGGAGGGGTTATAAGTTCTATAGAACCCCTTAAACCATATACTTTATGGATGTGTAGAAATCTGAGCATTACTGTTTCTTGCAGAGGAACTGGTCAGGCTTGGGATAAGTGATGGTGTGAGAGGTAAGTTTCCTTTTCTTAATTTGTAGACCTTCCATGTTTGACCTTAAGTGATTTTTCTTTAGTTACTTTTAACTTTCTTAATTTTTCTTGAGTAGAAGTGGATTTGCAACACTCAGCAATCTGGATGGCTGGTGTATATTTAATGCTATTGATGCAGTTCCTTGAGAATAAAGTGGCTGTGGAGCTTACACGGTCTGAATTTCTTGAAGCTCAGGAGGTAGGTTTTATAACTCCATTCTCTCTAAAAGCTCAGGTGCATTCGTTTGTCAGCTGCTAGGGGTGTGTTATGTTTCCATGCCTTTTTGAAACAGCATGTTTATCGAACAAATTAATAATTTAGCCTAAAGGCTATGCATGCGTGTGTGTGTTTTTCTTCTTATTATTATTATTATTTGTAGAACTTAGAGGATCATTAATTTTTCTTATCCAAAAACAAAACAAAAAAAAAATGAAGGATCCTTGACTTTCTAGTTTCAATTCCCTCATCACTAAGCTAAGTTAAACTTTTGAGTTACATTAGTTGCTATTTTAGGTTTGCTTAAAATAAGGTTTATACGTTGTAAAGAGTACATATCTAAAAGATTTTGATGTGTTTGCCTCTACTGACCACTGATAATGACTTCCCCTTGAAATTATTTTGGTATATGTGAGAATACTTCTTTTACACCCACCCTCTATATGTATATGTATATACAGAGACATGCAGAGAAACTTATTCTGACTTTTTTTTTTTTAACAAGATCATCTGTTTTATTTCGTTTTCCATTAGACACTTGAATGCTTCCACTGTACAATTATAAACTTTTGGTTTGGTGGCATGTTAGCTGATTTTCTATCCTGGAAGCACAAAAGCTGATTTTCTATCCTGGAATCATTTTGTGCTATGGTAAAATTTGCAGTTCAGTTGGCTGGTTTGTTTATTGACTCCTTAGAGTTCTCCATGCCGGTCATCTGTATCAGTAATCTTGAAATTGAATTACTAAGACAGTATCTCAACCTTACAGGCATTGGTGCATATGAAGACCTGGTTCACTCGCTTTCCAACAATTTTACAGGCTTGTGAGGGCATCATCGAGATGCTTAGGGGCCAATATGCCCATTCTGTTGGTTGTTATAGTGAAGCAGCTTTTCATTATGTAGAAGCTGCAAAGGTATGCTGTTTACTCTACACCAGTTTAAAAGTTCCATAATTTTAGTTATTGCTTTTGGAATTAGAGGTAGGTGGTAAAATGCTTATACCATTTAATGTGAGCAAGTTCATTCTGTTTAGTTGACACCATCTGATGTGCATTGCTTTATATCCTGTTTTCCAGATGAATGTTTGTAAAATTTAGAGTAAGTTTCCCATCTGTTTCATATGTTCAGATAACCGAGAGCAAATCAATGCAAATCATGTGCCAAGCTTATGCAGCTGTTTCATACTTTTGCATTGGTGATGCTGAATCATCTTCACAGGTCAAGTAGTTTGTCTGGTTACAAAATCCATTGTTGCAAAAAATTATAATTTGGTTTATGGTTGCGATAATTTTCTTTGTGGTGTCCATATTGTGTTACTGATAAGTATATTGCATTCAGGCACTTGATTTAATTGGACCAATTTACAGAATGAAGGATTCCTTTGTTGGAGTTCGAGAGGAAGCAAGTATCCTTTTTGCTTATGGCCTTCTATTGATGAAGCAGCAAGATCTACAGGAAGCACGGTGAGTACTTAAGTTCCTGAGTTGATTATTTTCATTTAAACTGGAAGGCAGTTAACTATTTGGTCGAGATAATTTGGTCCATCATGTCTCATGTGGCATTTGAGACAACCCAATTTCCCTTTTTGAAGCATTACCAATATCCCTGTTCAGTAATAGCAATTGCATCTGTGTCAGTGTGTTAAAAAGTGAAGTTTAATATATTAATCCTTTTGAAAAGACCCTGTGTTCTTTCTTCCTACACTACTTTCTCCTTCATTTCCTCCATTCATCCTTTGTCCAGATTCTAGAGCATTGATTTATTCCTGTAAATCCTATGGGAATGAACAGTTTTCTCTAGAACAAGGTATCTGATTTTTTACTATGCTTTAGAGTGATGGGCTATGTTTTAAGTTTTATGTTGGATTGAAGGTACTATTAATGGGGAAACCACGGTCATTAAAAGCAGTATAAAGTTTAATTAGCGTGCTCAAAAGGGCAGCATGTTTCCTGTTTTATTTGTATTTTGGGTACAAGAAACCTTGTGTGGATGAACAAGATTCATGATATACTTTTTACTAGTGATGATCATTACTTATTTTAAAGAAAATAAGAAAATAAAGAATACTATTTACCATAGAAAGGAAAAAAAAAAGGTGCTCCTTGTCCATCATAGAATATTCAAATTAATCTTAAGGTTTGTGTTTGTATGACTGCTATCTCTCTCTTGATCTGTGTGGTATAAAATAGCAACTTTGATGCAGTAATCGGCTGGCCAAAGGTTTGCAGATTGCTCACGTTCAAATGGGAAACCTTCAACTTGTTTCACAGTATTTGACTATTCTTGGGAATTTGGCACTTGCTCTGCATGACACTGGACAAGCCAGAGAGATCCTAAGATCCTCACTCACTTTGGCAAAGAAGCTTGGTGATATCCCAACACAGATATGGGTTCTGTCTGTTTTGACAGGTATATCTTGATCTGCAGGTTCTAGATATGGTTTGAGTGTATTCTCACCACAACTGTTCACTTGATTTAGAATTATGAATTAATCTTTCTCAATTAGGTTTATGCAACTATTCTTCTTGCAGGTCTCTTTCAACAATTAGGTGAGAGGGGAAATGAAATGGAGAATGATGACTACCGGAGAAAAAAGTTTGATGATTTGCAGAAGAGACTTGCTGATGCACGTTCATCCATCCATCATATTGAACTTGTAATTGCTACTATTTGACTCGTATATCTGGTTTTTCAGCGAAAAGCCGCATAATTGGCTAAAGGTTTTTAATCTGCTGCAACTTACCATTTATTTCCTGTGTATTTTCTAAGCAGATTGACAAAGTAAAACTTGAGGTTCAGCAATTTAATGAGCTGGATATGAAGCGGAGAATGGCAGGCCAGTCAATGAGAGTCAATCTTGACATTCCGGAATCTGTTGGTTTATCAGTACCAATGCCAGTTCCATCATCGTCAAGGCTAGCTGATTTAGACACTGGAAGACGTGGAAAGAGAAAACTCTAACTTTTTATCTTTTTTTTCTTATTTAGTTTATATAGGAAAATAGTGTTTGAGGCTAACACTTTAATGTATAGATTTCCGAGTAAAAGATTGTTCCATTAAGAGACAGTAGCAGTAAATCCCACTCATTATTATTGATGTTCAGTTATTTTTTCCTTATTTTCTATTTTGAGAAAAATAAAGTGAGCCTTTTGGATCTTATTGTGTTTTGTTTTTTTCTTATTTAAAAATGGAATTCAGTGTCTGGTGAACGAGGAATATAGTGCATGAGGAGCAACACTGTGGTTCTTCGATATGCTTGAGCGCATCTGCACTAGGTAATAAGTCTACGGGGTACAAGGTAGCTTCGTTTGAAAGGCTTCTCATTTGGAAATGTGATCACACAATCTGCATTAGGCACCCTCTATTGAAAGGCTTCTCATTTGATGTAATCAAATCATGTTGGGCAATGTTGTGCAACAGCATGTAGTGCATCAAGAAAACAAGGGAGGATGATGATTGACTGGAATTTCTCGCCTACATTATCTGGAATGATATTGACAGGTAGTTTAAAAGTAGAAGTTGGAGTTAATCTATCCGCGAATCAGTGGTGTTTTCTTCTTTGTAGTGCAGTTTAAAGGCCTTCAGGCACTTTGGTAGTACAGGAGTTATGAGTGTTCCACGTCCAAGTTGCTTCTCAACATCTGCTATAGTGTTTGGCATTTGGCTTGTTCATGCTTCCTCCTCAGCAGTGAGTCCTGCAATTTCTTTGAGTGGTTTCCACATGAATTTTCTCCTGCGTTGTTGACAAGAGGCAAATCATCACCCTTTCAATCTGATTAAAAAGAGATAAAAAGTGCTGCGCTGCCGCATGGGTGTGGGGTGAACTGTGTAGGATGTGCATATATATGCTAACTAAAAAGGAACAATGAACAGCCTCACCAGTTTCCACACTCAGCAATAACCCTAACTTTAGGCCGGAGGGTGGGAAGCAAAGCAAGAAACTGCAGCTCCGACTTGGAGAGAACCTATGCAAAGGACCAATGTTACTGTTTGATGAAGGAAAAGAAAATCAGGCATTTTTTTTCTTTTATCCTTTTGGGTATTAGTATTTATAATCACCTTGGCTTCAATTATCCAGACGACAAGTCCTTTAGCATCAGGAGGCAATGCCTCGAGCCGATAATCAACTTCCGGCGGGAAATACCACCTTGCTATAGGTTGCTTCCCAACATGAGCCTGTAATTTCACTATATTAGTACTATGTAAGTCGTAAAAAAAGTCAAAAGTTAACAGAAGCATTGTGGAGTAGTAAGTAGAGCAGCATGCATACAGGGCAAACAGGATGGATCTTGGTGAGGGTAGTCTCGGGATCACCAAGGCCACGAGCAGAAATGTCGAGGAAATAGTATCCTTGGTAGCGGAGGCGGTTAAGGTAGCGACCCTCATAGCCTCCCTCGTGCGGGCTGTAAATAGCAAGGGCTTTGTGCTCTTCCACATCGGATAGCCAACGGCCCAAATCAAATCTTAACAGATCTCCTCCAATGAAGTCGCCGATCCCTATCCCACTCCCACTGCATTTCACCATAAACCCACGTCTATTGCTCTTAGATGTCTTACTATGCCCCTGTGTAGCTCTAAATGGCATGGGCATTTCGCTTCTGCGCGGGCAGTTGACCCAGGCTGGCGCCCTATATTGCAAGTGTAAAGAGTGTGCAGCAGTGGCCATCCTTTTTTCTTAATCTTTTTGAGATGTTTCTAAAGGAAAAATAAGAGGAGGAAGCCCATGCAGAATTGCAGATGCAGCGTACATGGTGGATAAGAAAACAAGATAAGAACGCAAGCGAGGAGAGCGGACAAAAAGGGCAGTCAATTGCAGGGCCTACCCGTACGAGTAGAACCATTGTGATTTGTATTGTGGGGTAAGGCTTTAAAATAGAGTTCATTCATATGTCGTCGAATAAAAGAAAAGAGCAAAATTAGTGAGAGGTAGGCTATATATATATATATATATATATATATATAAATAGTATATATATATTTGAGGAATGAGATTTTGAATTTTTTTTTTAAAAAAATCACATATCAATCAAATAAATCAAATATTTAAATCCAAAAATATTTTTTTAAATTAAATTTAAACTCTTACCCTGATGAGTTATTAACTTATAAACAAACTCTCGTTGCATTTATAAATATACTAACTAAATAATATCTTTCCCACTATATTAATTGACTTTCTCATACTTATTTTTCCAGTACAATTTTTTTTTTCACTTCCGCCCCTCGCCGCAAACACAAGTAACCGCACGTGCTCAACTCCGAATCTTAATTACAGCGAGAGGTACTTCTCCGTCTGCCGTCGTCCAAGCCTCTGGTTTCTTAGTTACAGAGAAAAATAAATTCTTGTCGGTCTCGTCTCATCTTCTGCCCTTTTCACCATCAATATTCAATATCTGAATTTGAGTATTATTGATTGATCGCGTAATTGAATAAGAAAAGAGGAAAATGTTGAGTGCATCAAGGGGCTTGAGAGCTCGAGGGCTACTAATGTTGCGCCAAGATGCACTCAACCATAATCCCCTCCTTTTTTCCTGCCCTTTCTATTCTAATCATGCTCCAACTGGAGCAGTCAGCAGCAGCTTTATTTTTGGGAAAAACCATCCCTCTCTCTGCACCAACAACACCAGAAGAGCATATTCATGGAATCTCATCAACACTAATGCTACTATCAACGCCTTTCTTTCAGATTCTTCCTCCTCCACGCCCTCCAGCGGCGGTTTGTCAATTTCAAACCCCATTTAATCTTTTTCTTTCCCCATAATATTCATTTTTTTTAATTATTTGTTAACACTCTAACTCTGCTGCAAATTTGGGGAGGCAGGGCTCAATGCTAAACGGGCGCTTATATTTCTCATCCTCAGCCTCAAGTAATGATGATGACAAAGCCCAAAACAAACCATCAGCAGCAGTTGCATCTATTAGTGAGAAACGACAAATTGCAACATGAAAATTCTGCGCACTCTTGCTGGCTACTTGTGGATGAAGGATAACTTGGAGTTCCGTTTCAGGGTGATGACTGCCCTGGGATTCCTCGTTGGGGCTAAGCTTTTGAACGTTCAGGTCCCCTTCCTCTTCAAGCTTGCCGTTGACTGGTTGACCAGCCCCAACGCCACTGCTCTTGCAAACTCTACTCTTGTCGCCCTTTTTGCTACTCCGACTGCTGTCTTGATTGGTTATGGCATTGCCCGCTCCGGAGCCTCTGCTTTCAACGGTATCTGCTTTTCTCTTCTTAATTACATAATTTACTAATATATAACTACGCTCCACTCTTTTGTGGGCAGAACTGCGTACTGCTGTCTTCTCCAAAGTAGCATTACGAACAATTCGCTCTGTTTCCAGGAAGGTATATCAGATATCACAATTATTACACTTCTTAGCCTATAAAAGAATGCATCTTTTGCATGTTTCACTCGGTTTAACGTCGCTACTATCCTATTCTGTTTATATTTCTTTTGGCAGGTCTTTTCACATTTACACGGTCTTGATCTTCGTTACCACCTCAGGTCTTGCCTTGCAACTTATGCACATTGCAGTGACCTTTATTTTTACTCCTTTATATCTTTTTCCTCCCTAAACCGCTTGTATATCTGTATATATTGTGCTCAAATTCATTTTAACGGTCTCTTCTACAATGTTGTTTACCTCAAATAGTTAAATTGTGTGCACCTGTTTCTGATTCTTTTTGCTTACCGTATTCTCAGTCGAGAAACAGGTGCTCTAAATAGAATAATTGATCGTGGTAGCCGAGCAATCAATTTTATTCTTTCATCTATGGTGTTCAATGTTGTGCCAACCATTTTAGAGGTATGATTTTGGTTCAACTTCTTATGAGCTATCTCCTTTTAAAGATGTTAATTTCTACTTTCATGTGCTGCCATCCACTATGGATACCAGAGTCTTCCTGCCATCCGCGATGAACACCACTATTCAATCTCTTTGTCATTGAGTGTTAGGATTGAATGTTAATAAATTAGATCTTGCTCCTCAGTTTTTTACCAAATTCAACAGAGTTAATATCTATCCTTCCAGATATCTATGGTATCCGGTATACTCGCATACAAATTTGGAGCACCTTTTGCATGGATAACCTCGCTCTCAGTTGCTGCATATGTTAGTTTTACTTTGACTGTAACGCAGGTACCATCTTTCTTGCCAATACTTTGTCAGCATCCATAATATAGTTTTTAAGGAGTGAAACTTGTTATTTGTCTAAGCTTTTCTTCTTATGCACAGTGGAGAACTAAGTTTAGGAAGGCAATGAATAAAGCCGATAACGATGCAAGTACAAGGGCCATTGATTCGCTTATCAATTATGAGGTGAGGATGTATTCATTTATGAATGTTTCCATTTTATTGTTAGTTTATAATCATTTCCTCTTTTTGTTATTTATAATAATTCTTTTTCTCATCTTAATGCCTTATTTATTGTTTTTTCTTGGGTCTTATGTTTCAGACTGTTAAATATTTCAACAATGAAGCTTTTGAAGCTGAAAAGTATGATGAGTTCTTAAAGAGTAAGTATTTTGGGCAGACTGTAGAACTTTAAAGAGTAAAGTACCTTCCTCTCAAACTGGAAAGCTATAGTAGACTGACTCATCAATGACCTACTATACGTTAAAAGCCAATATTGACAACTAAATTCTGGAATGACATAATCCTGTTTAAATTAATGTTAGGCATGTTTTTGTAAATGCAAGCCTCCTCACAATCTATAGTGTTACAGAAAAGTCACAGATTGGCGTTTTGTAGGATATTGTTAAAATGAGTGGAAGTTATTACTTAACCACAAACAACTAATGCAGCGTTGTTCTGATGTTCTCTAAATTATGTAAAGCTTCTGCATGACTGGTAACCTTCGAAGACCTAAAGCTTGTGCACAGCTTAATTGTAGTACTCACAAACACTTTCAACTGCTTAGTAATTTTTCGTGTAGAGGCACACATGTGCATCAGTGCATCTTCTCCTTCATGCTTCTGAGTTCCCAACTTGAGACCTTCTAAGGCAAAGAAGTTCCAAGCTTTGCCTACTCTGCCTGCCATTTTCTTGCCTCTTACAGTTAGTACTTGGAAATTGAAAATCTAAGATGCTGGCTGCTTTCTGCATTGTCTAAGCTATTATGTGAAATGAGCTTTTGTAATGTGGCTGTTCTTCAGGCTGTGCAGGACTCTTTTGCTATTCATGTTACCAGAAGATCTTTTAGCAACTTTTCCAAATACAGTTGGACAAAAACAAAGCAATGTTGTCTAATTAGTATGCTTTTCATTCTTCAGACTTTGTCTGATATAGCTTCTTTTGCTCCCGCTTCTTTCTTGCTCTTTTTTCCAGGGTATGAAGATGCTGCCTTGAAAACGCAACGGAGTCTTGCTTTTCTGAATTTTGGCCAAAATGTGATATTTAGCACAGCTCTTTCTACAGCTATGGTGTTGTGCTCGTATGGAATTACAAATGGCCAAATGACAATTGGTGATCTGGTAAAACTTTTTCTTCACATGTTTGCTTGTACTTGTCACAAAAGTTTCCTTTTTTCTTTTGACTTTTTCAAAAGAAATTAAATTTAGTCAAGTTGTTGAATGATGTTACGTGCACAAATTTAAACTTGAAAATACAGGTTATGGTGAATGGGCTACTTTTCCAGCTCTCTCTCCCACTAAATTTCCTTGGAAGTGTTTATCGTGAGACCATACAGAGTCTTGTTGACATGAAATCCATGTTTCAATTACTTGAGGTATTTCTTGATAAATTTTTACAGATTAAGAGTGTCTCTTGAAACATTGGCTTGGACTGTTCTGTCACCTTCTTTTGGCCTTCTTAGTGCTATTACTAAGTTTTTAGGTTAGGAGAGCAACATTATAGTTCACCAAACCATTTATCAAAAATTTAAAAAAGAACAGAGAATAAGAAGAAAATGTTTGCTTCATTTTTATATTTTAGACGTCCTGCCTGGTAATCATGATCCATATGAAGAGCACAGATGAAGTCAGTCTAGTCATTTATAAATTGTTCTATATGATATAGGGGTGAGCTGCCAATAGTATGAATTACCTCTGCTGACTTTAGTTTTGTTGTCTATGTAATGTAATTTTTAACTCAATGATTACCACAGGAAAAGGCTGATATTAGTGACAAGAAAGATGCAAAGCCTCTGAAGCTGAATGGGGGAAGCATTCTGTTTGACAATGTGCACTTCAGGTGATTTTTAGTTATCTCTGTAATTAGTCATGTTCATGAAATAACATTTGACATTTAGTATTTTCGTCTCTAGTCATTTTAATTAGGTAAGTTGCATGTCTATATGATGTTTAAATTGGCCCCAGTTGGTCTTTTGTTCTGCTTCTTTTTCTTTTGTCATGGATCAAGGAGTTGCATTGTATTGTCAACATGTTCCAATCTTTTCAGCATTGTCTGATGTTGTACCTCTGGTTGTATTTAGATGTAGAGCTAGGATCTTGGAATTGGTTGGACTTTATCCTACATCAGGATTGAATGAGAGAAGGGCAAGGAAAGAATAAAAAGGGAAATTGAGGGATGTTGGATTCCCTAGTCTGGATATTACAAGCATATAAGGGGAAAGGAAAAGATTAGTCACTATGTTGTTTTACAATTTAATTCTTTATTGTTAAAAGTATTATTAACATTTATGGGATAGAGTTGACAATACACTCATAACTCATTTAAGGCTTTCCTTTCCCTACCATTCCCCCCACTTTGGAGGCATTGAAAAAGGCATTTGTAAGGGAAATGGAGGAATAAATTTCTCTTCTCTCTTCCCCTCCTTAAATGGCCCATCTAGTAAAGGGAACGAATATCCTTCCTTTCCTTTCACATCCCCTCCATTGGCCAATCTAAACATAGTATTACAAATTTCTTCTTATATTTTCAGTAATGACAATTTTTCAGTTCTAATCCTCTTTGTGAACATCTATAGGTTTATCTTTGACCTATTTTCTGTCAGCACTGTCCTTGAACTCAATTCCATGAATATATAAATAAATAAATAAATAAATATGTATATATATATGTGTGTTTGTCTAACTGTCCTAGTTGGGTTGAGTGTATATGTGATCCAGGGATGTATTCAGAATGTATTGGTAATGTTAATTAATACACTTATCTTAATTATTAACCTGCTATATTGTGTCCCCTTTGATGATGGATTGCTAATTTGCCTTTTTTTTTTTTAGTTACCTGGCAGAAAGAAAGATTCTTGATGGGATATCTTTTTATTTACCAGCTGGGAAAAGTGTGGCTATTGTTGGAACTAGTGGAAGTGGTAAGGCTTCAGTGGTTGTAAACTCACTGGTATTTGCATTTTATATGGAACAGTTGTTACCTTCTTTTCATATATTTGCCATCCTTCCAAGCCATGGCTGCCTAGTGTTATGATTGAGTCAAATGTTGAATGCTCAAACTCCTAATACTCAAAGCATTACATGCATCACTTCAGGCAACTATGTCCCATTTCATATGTAAGAAACAATGTATGATTACTCAATTAGATGGGGCCTTTCAGTATTTAATTGTTGGAATTGTCACTCTGAGATGGTGGCTCATAAAATCACAGACAAACGTCAGTTCTTTTTTTTTTTTTAGGTGGGGGGGGGGGGGGGGGGGGGTGGTGGGTGGTGGTGTTGGTGGTGCAGGGGAGGGTGTCATCATTCTCAAAATTCATGTCTAAAGTCATATGGCTAATTTTGGCTTTTGTTATTGAAACTCTTGTATCATATTATATTTCTTAGTCCCTTGAAGAACCATTGACCTAATTAACTTTGAATCTGCTTTCAGGCAAATCAACCATTCTTAGATTGCTGTTCAGGTTCTTTGACACTCATTCAGGAAGTGTAAGAACAAATACTTTGTTCAATTGTGCTATAAGTTCCCAATACATGTTTACGATTTTGGCAATCATTTTTAATTCATTAAATTAATGACCTTATCTTCAGTCTTCATGATGAGCTGAAAGGTAGCGTACAATTGACATATCATACATAAACTCCACTATGATGCTAGTTGAAAAAGCTCTTCCTTTGCAAGCTGGTAATAGCTTGCATGCATTTCATCGAAGAACAGAAATTATTGATTTGATCCAGGATATTTTAACATCTTTTTTCAAACTTTTCCACAGCACTGACTATTGGCTCTCTCTACAGATCAGGATTGATGGTCAAGACATACGGGATGTAACACTAGATAGTCTTCGAACGGCTATTGGTGTTGTGCCACAAGATACTGTCAGTTCAATAGACAATTTTGTGTTTGTTTTTCTTTACTTATTTTTGTATAGACCATTGAGACCAATGAGGAACATCAATTGCTTGATTGGCAGGTACTCTTCAATGATACAATATTTCACAATATACACTATGGTTGTCTTTCAGCTACAAAAGAAGAGGTTAATCTCTTAGTTCACGCCATTGATTTTATTTTTCGTTTTCAGCATTAACACTTGTTTTCATATAGGTTTATGATGCTGCTAAACAGGCTGCAATTCATGACACTATCATGAACTTCCCTGAAAAATATTCAACTGTGGTTGGGGAAAGAGGGCTTAAGGTGAGAGAGGCCTCTCTGTTCATGATTGGTTGATGCATTATGGTGCTATGATGCCTCCCGTCAGGCTTTTTGGGCCTAATGCTTCGATTTTATTTTATCTCCTTGAATACGCTACTCGATATTAATGATAATTTTCTGTCCAGAGAACTCTAATGGGAAACGAAATAATTGATCGTATAGATTACATTTTGATATTCTTTAGAATTCTAACTAATTGGGTGACTTTTCTTGCCAGTTAAGTGGTGGTGAGAAACAACGTGTAGCTCTTGCTCGTGCATTTCTGAAAGCTCCTGCCATTTTGTAAGCATTTCTTCTTGACATAACTTGTTATGTGCACATATCATAACTACTCTTTATATTTCATTGATAATTATTGGTTTACAGTGTTTGATTTCCATATATTGAGCTTGTTATATGCCAGTAGATTTGGCCAACAAAGAGAATTAAGGTTGCATTGGATAGAAAGATGTCACGCAATTCTCAATGAGTCGAAAAATATAGATTTTTTTTCAACCATTTCCCTAAGAATCTATTTGTCATGTGGGGGACCGATTTCCTTGGGTCAGGAACATATAGGCTAACCAAAAAAAGGGGAAAGCCTATTTCTTTCTTTCATCCAGTTGTCATATACAGTGTGTGATATTCTGTCCATTTCTACTCACAGATTGTGTGATGAAGCTACTAGTGCACTTGACAGTACGACTGAAGCAGAGATATTGAATGCATTGAAGTCACTAGCAAATAATAGAACTTCAATCTTCGTAGCTCACAGGCTTACGACAGCAATGCAGTGTGATGAGGTATGCATGCCTATGAAAATTGCATGGCCATGTATGCATGGCCCTGAAATTGAAATGTCCTTGGCAATACTTTCTCCTTCTCTCTGTCTCTCTCTCTCTATGCACAAGAAGATCAACTACTACGTAGGTAGCAAAAGGGACCAACATAGAACTGAAATTGCACAAGTAATTCATATTTTTACCATTTGCTTACATCCTTTGGTAGAAGACAGATGATAAATTCTAACAATGTGAAAGAGAGGATGTCTTCTCAAATTCCCTCAGGCTCTAGCCTCTTATACACACTATGTTTTTTGTCCTCTTACTTTGTCTATCTGTGCCCAATAGACAAGATTCTGTAGCAACTATGTCAATAAGTAGTTCAAAATTTATTTTTTTTTTGAAATAAAGTAGTTCAAAGTTATTAATTCGGCAGCATCTGAGCTGTCTTTGTCTATGTTATAATATCGTCCTGAGAATTCATACAGCTCTGTGGTGCTTCATAAATTGGTTTACACTGAAATTATGAACTTTGCCTTGTCTTGAACGGAACGCTTAAATTACTCAATCTCACTTGTTTCTTCTAATTCTCTGACTTTCAAAAAATCTTGCCTTCTCTAATTAATTTTTAAACTGTCTTTTCTAGGTTTATCTGGTGCGCAAATTTTTCCGTTCTTTTAATGTTCTTTCTTTTTTTTCATATATGTATTTCAGATAATAGTTCTGGAGAATGGCAGGGTGATTGAACAGGGACCACATGAAATTCTCTTGGGAAAGGCAGGAAGATATGCACAGCTGTGGGCACAGCAAAATAGTTCCATTGATGCCATTGACACAGCCATCAAAGTTGAAGCATGAATCTTAAACTGTAATCATATTTAAGCAAACTGGGTCAGGACTACACAAACAACCATACAAATTTTGTAGAAATTCAGATGTTGCACCATAACAATTCTTCCATGTGTATGCCCCGATTGACAAGATGGAGGGGAAATTATCATAAATGATTTCTTTTTCAATCTTGGGGCAAAGCTGTTGCATCTGATATTTTTTGTTTTTTTGTACAGTTATGATACCCAACTGAAGCTGCCAAAATAGGTACAAATACCGTGATATGTTTTTATTGCTGCTTGTTATTGGATATTATTGACTCAATGCGGCACCTTGTTGCATACATGCTGTCTAAGCTGCACGAGGCACTTGGTATTGATTGAATACGGCAGCCTTACTGGCTAGATTTAGGAAGGCATTCTGTGTACGGAAATATTGGATTATATTTTACTTCCTTTTGTAGTTAGTTCTTAGTCGAATCCTTATGGCTCTGCTTTCAATTTTGATATGCATGCTAAAACTGGCTTTACTGGTTGCCATGTTTTTCTGCTCATGTCTTTATCATTTGAAGGATATGGTTGCCAGAATTGTAATTTCCGAATAAGGGTAGGCTCCGTTGTGAAAGAGGTGTAGCCATATCTGTTCCAGGCCAAGAAAGGTGGCGCCTGTCGGCCCCAAAAGGCAAAACACATGTGGAACTTGAACGGCCCAACGTATGACCTAACTAATGTTGGACCTGAGGGCCTAATACGGTTAGGCCTTAATAGCCCAAAGGAGGTCGAGCCTTTCCTTCGGGCCTTTCATGCCCCAGGTTGGCCTCAACGGCGACAAACCAGGAAGCCCCCTTTCCACAAAAATCATCGTAATCGTATGATTCCAAAACTCCTCATCAAGAAGATTATTCTAGGAGTATTTCATAAGAGCAGTTGAAATCAGTACAATAATTAAATAATTAACTGACAAGGTTTCATGCACGTTGACTGCAGCAGAAAGCATCCTCCTTTTGTCCTATTTTGTGCTTCACCATTCGTTCAAGTCTTGTCAAAGAAGTTGGTTCAGTGTAGTAGACTTGCATCATCCTGCCTAAGCAGAGAGCGGTACTGATGCATCCGTGCAGCTCCCTGTTTTGAGGACAGCCTTATTCGAGAACGGAGCACTGTGAATTAAAACATCCGATATGAGAATCTTGACCAAGTAGGCAAATCACTCATAATTAGAGTAATTTTCAAGCACAGATGATTATTTCTTGTTGTTCAAATTACCTGCAGATGACTGGCAACGCCAATAGTGTATATCACTCAAGAAAAACAGGAAATCATCTGAATCTTAACATAAAAATGACCCTAAATCTGCCGATATATTTAACTAAATATGGTGGCGAATGTTACCAAACCATCAACCATGTAATGTAGCCATAGCTTTTTTCACAGATTAAACTTAAGTTGATGCTTCCAGCGTTCTTGTCTCTGGCTATCTTTCCCTCGCATCCTTTGTGATTTATAATAAAAGCAATGTAGATTTGTATGATTGAAATGGAATAAATACTAGAAAGGCTTGTTTTAATTTAATCTGTGAACCCGCGAAGCCGAAAGCCCTGACAGTGACACTGACATGGACACGGACTAAAGAAAGAAAACGATTTGCAGGGAGGGAAAATTCCAAGTCTTTGGCTGCCTTCAATCATCAACACCCACCACGGGCTTACAAATGAAGGCCACTTTTTTTCACTCTTGCATTAAATTAAACCTGACAATCAGATATGCTTCTCAGGATATACTTTTGTTTCATTTGATCAATTTCTAATTTTCTTAATCCATCCTGGTCTTGTCTAGGCCATTTCTCTTTTCACTTATTTATCCATTTTGTTAGAATCACATCTTCATAATATTGCATTTGTTGCAGTTTTCAGACTAACTGACAATCCTGGAAACAAGAACTGAGGGGAAATGGACGGTGCTTCTGCTAATAGTGGTAACAGTTCTACAAGATATGGAAGGGAGATGGCATCATCCAGCTTCCTACGGGCTCCATTTGCAGCGATCTTGGAGTTTTCAGGTCTTCTTGGAAGCAGCAGTGCCTCTGCATCTGTTGCTATTGCTAATGATGACTCTCACGCACAATCCGCCCACCAGGAGGTATCCATCAGGATACTTGGAATTGAACCTGGAGAGAGCCACGACTCTGTATCAGTTGACCTTGCAGAACAAGGCGCTGGCTTAACTGCTGCTGATGTAAGTAGTGAAAGTGCAATCGCCAACGGGGAGTCTGGGAGTCGAAGGGACTCATCCACTTATCAGAGAGATGACGTACATTGCTTGTCTAGGTGGATTGAGCACATTCTTCCTTTTTCTTTGCTTCTTCTTCTTGTTTTTATTCGACAACATTTGCAAGGTAATTTCTCCATTCTCCCTTCTTCTCTTCTCAATTCACCATCACACAATTTTTTTCTCTTTGGGGTCTTGTATTGCAGTTCCTCTTTGTTTTTCTTTTTCAATCCAGATGTACTTGTTTCGTAAGATGAACATCTAGAAATATAACCAAGTGCTAACCTCATCTTTTCAATATTTCCGAAACTTATCGTGTTTATATATATGATTCGTAGCCTCGGTCTATGTCACACTCACACACCAAAACCTTAATTAGAATGTGGGTGAAAGTAACAAAGTGATATATATCAGTTCCTTGTTTCTTTTGCTTCCATGAGTTTCAGGCTTTTTTGCCACAATCTGGATTGCTGCAGTCATCTTGAAATCAGATGATATTTTACAGAAGCGGGCAGCATTAAAGGTCTCCTATCTTGCATCTTGCTTTCCATTTTCAGACAGATTTTAGATTCAATTTAGAGCACTTTAAAATTTACTAAAGCATTTCTTCTGTGAGCTTATTATTTGCTCGTTTCTGCAGGAGGAGAGAGATTTATATTCTTTCGGCATCACCATTAGTTTCATGCTCCATGTGATATCTGTTTATTGGTGGTATCGAAATGATGACCTTCTGTACCTTTTGGTTCTACTCCCTCCAAAGAAGATTCCGGCTTTCTGGCGCTCGATATTTATCATTATGGTCAATGGTAACCGTTACTAGTCCATCTCTTGTTGCAACTGGCAGAAAAAGCGTCTTTGCCTTGCCTATATAATTTGCTCCAATAACACAAGAATATCATTTTCATTTTATGATAGATATAACCATCCTAAGTCAATGATGTTTTGGCTATTGTTAACTAAGCTAAGTGTTTATTGTAATTGTGTGCTCATTTTCAACGAGCCATAGATAGTTCAATTTCAAATACTGCTTGGCATTTTCTTTTGTCGGCTGTTGAAGTTTCCAGTTACATATATGCCAATTATGATGTTTCACATTTTCATAGCTGCCTTGCTTGGATCAAAGGGTAAACAGTATCGTTTACAGATAACGTATCTATGACTGCAAAATTATAGACAATTGTGTGGTTGTTATAAATGGTCTATGGTCCCCGTATAAGGAAAATTAGTCTCTTTTTGTTGGAAGTTCTTCCTTGTTTTCTTTGATTTCGTTATCTTGGTGATGCCTTCATATGGACATGGGATATTCCCATTTACAGATGTTATGGTGCAGCAGGCAGCCATGGCCTTCAAATGTGTACTTTTGATATGTAACAAGAACAGCAAAGGCCACAATTACAGTAAGCAGGTTAATTATTCTGAAGATTATTCAAGACCATACAGTTGGAATATTTGCACTTCCCCGCTCATTTATGTGCCAATTTCTCTTACAATATGAAGTCTTTTCTTTTTCAGGGTCAAATACTAACTCTTGTTGAGTATTTGATGTTGCTATACCGCAGTCTGTTGCCAACACCTGTATGGTATCGGTTCTTTCTAAACAAAGAATACAGTCGGTTTTTTTCCTCATTCACTATGGGATTGTACTTGACATTCAAGCTTACATCCACCATAGAGAAGGTATCTGCTGATCTACAACTCAATCTTTATAAACTTTTCAAGCTTCAGTTTTATTGAAAACCATGTAAAGCATGGCTCATTATGCACTACAATATTACTGTGATATCAAGGTTAATTATCCTTTGCTGCATTGAGGGCCTTATCACATAAAGAGGTGCATTATGGATCCCGTGCCACATCTGAGCAGGTTAGTGGCTCTTTGTTGAGCAGTAATATTCAAAATTGCCATCTCCTTCTGACTTTGGCTACAAGTTACGTCATGGAACTGTTACCTCATCCTCCCATGCTTGAACATTCCGACCTCACCCATACAGCTAGATCAGATCTGCTAGTCTCCCCGAGGGATATAGCCTCTGGTGCCTAGTGCCAAGTGCCAAGTGCCATTGATGTTATATTCAGAACCATTTTAGGCTCTCCATGGCAGGTGGTAGGCTAAATAGAAAAATTCTTGTTTATCACCACTTAATATACCTTTCCCTTTGAATTTAGTAACAGCTATAGGAAAGTGAAAGGAAAATCAGAACTGACTTGATAGTGCTAGGTGCCATCCATTTCTGATGCTTTATAGTTCCATTTCTGATGCTTTATAGTTCTTTCTCTACCATAATTTTTACATGTATATGGAGATTAAGCTGTTCTTTCCTTCAATTATATGCAAGCTTTTCTTCTGCTGTAGTTGCATACAAGTATTGTCACGTTCTAAGTTATTAAGAGGTAAGTGCAGGTCAAGGCAGCTGGGGATCTCTGCACCATTTGCCAGGAGAAGATGCACGCTCCAATCTTGCTTCGCTGCAAACACATCTTCTGTGAAGACTGTGTGTCAGAATGGTTATATCTTTACTTCCATTTCATTTATATGAAGATCAATACTTGTGTTAGACACGCAAACAACTTTCTTCGCATTTTACTAGTGCTATCATTTGAATTTTGAAATTCTTGAAGGATAATTAACATTTCAGTTGAACTCATTTAACAATCGTGAATGCTAGAATCAAAATTATTGCATTTTTTTCGGTTTTTTTGAACATTAATAATCTTTGCATACTTGCTCCAAGAAAATTCATGCCTGCAGCGTTGTTAATCATAACTCCTATATATGCTGGCTAATTTGTTGCCTCTCATGTTAGTTTAGTTTGATGGTGTGCCAAGTTCCAGCAGTTTATATTTTGCCGTTTTTACTTGCCGTCTCAACGGAAATGTACCATGGTTTTTAGGTTTGAACGAGAAAGGACATGCCCTTTGTGTAGGACATTGATCAAACCAGCCAGTATCAGATCGTATGCTGATGGATCAACAAATCTAGTGTTCCAGTTGTTCTAAACCTGCCTGATGTTGTGAAACCAGACGCCATTCCATATAATCTCTTTCATGACCTCACTGTCACTGCTGCATATCAGCTGCATTGCTGCTTTCGTGTTTAAGCAGCAGTAATATGAAGGACTCAACAGCAATAGCCAATAGGGGTTCAACTACGTGCCCATATATTGTACTATTTATCAAATATACATACATACATAAACATATCATCTCTTTGATTAAATTTGTAGCTATTAGCTGCTATAAATTAAATTCATCCTCTAGAAAATAAATTTTGTGGCATAAACCTGTCCATTTAACATGACAGTTCTGGTCCTGTCGTCTTGGAACAATTCCAAGGTGGATGATCGACACAAACAAGTTTAAATTCAAATCTGAACCTGTTCTGCTGAGGTGAAAATAGATTCAGAAGCATTTTCCGAGACTATCTCTGCTCCTATACCATATTTTGATTTAGCTCATTCCGAACAAGCCCTCATCTCTTATCATATAAGTTTAGCCCCAACGGTTGTTCTGAATCCCTCAGTTATTTCACCAGCACTGAACCCACCAGTATTACATTTAATAATGGATTGTGTTGAAAGAAAAAAAAAAATCAAACCAAGCTTTATTCCCAACTACATCATATCATCAAATCCTGCAGCTATAGATAGTTGATGGCCACCATGTTTCGATCCTTAATCATCCTTAAAACTTTACGTACTTTTAAGACACCACAATCGAACAAACTGATAAAAGAAATTAATACCTGCATTTCAAACCTTACTATTCAGCATATAATGGCTTAAGTTTATCTCTGTTACTATAAAATCACAATTTTAAAAGTTATAGTATTTATATCAACCAAGAAAGAGGTAAACACACCTGAATATTTGACCCATTAGTTGATACCTGATCTTCCTACTTAAAAAGATAGAATTTAAATCCTCTTTTTCCCAATTATAAAAATAAAATAAAAAACCAAAAAAGGGTAAGCCTGACATTAAACTACTAAAAGAATACAAGGTTCAAAATAAAAATAGAAAGGTGTATCAAAGGCTATATTGTTAACATCTCAATTCTTCATAAAGAATATATATATTAAATGTGAAGTGAAACCATTCAAATAAAAAGTTTCGACATATATTTTGCATCCTCAGCCATCTAAGTTTGAGCTTGAGAGCTTTGCCAGGCAGAACTTTGGGAACCCTCCGCAAACTCCAGGGGTGGCACAGGGCGGACAGGGATATTCCGAGTTATTTGCAGATTTGTGTCAAGAGATGCCTCAGATGGTAATGCACCTGATGCAGCAGGCAAAGAGTTTATATTGGATAATGAAGGTCCCTTGATAGGGTAAACTTCAGTGACTTCTTCAGTGCTCTCATCCAAATATACGACATCCTGCATAGTGAGTTGGTGGTATTCAACAACCTCCCTTAGGAAGCGATTCTCGCGTGCATAGATAGAATTTTCATGAGCTAGCCGTGCCTTTTCTGCCAACAGGGTCTCAAGTTGAAGACGTATCTGAAAATGGAAATTAAAAAGAATCAAAATTTAGGAATTGTTTACATGTCGAAAACTGAATTGCTTCCATTATCAGTTCCAATCTACACAGAGAGACGCTACCCATGTTACAAATGGAATAAAAGAATAAAATGTCCAATAAAAGGCCAATCACAAAATCTGATTATGTTTTTCTCGAGGACTTAATTTTAGAGCTTTACTTTGGGCTGCATCAAGAGCCTACCATGCTGATATAAGTATAAAGAAAGAGATTAAATTCAACTGAAAAGTAGAGTAATTCCATAATCCTAGACTTTAATTCACAGATCCTTTAATAATTTTTAGCGTTAATTCCTTACTGTAACTTTGTTATTTTAATTTCATTTTTAATTATTTTTTAAATTAAATTTACTTGGATAAGATTAAGATGTCCAAATTTAATATTTAGCAAGGATTAAATACAATTCCCTGTGAAAACGATACTTCCTACCTTATTACTTGTGCGACACATGCACATGTGTACGTAAAACCAGCAACAAGTTTTGGACACTATTACTGGGGAATTGTTTTTCTGTTCTTTGCTGATATTAATACCAAGCAAATTAGTCTTAATTCAAGCTTTGTTTTCTTTATTTTTAAGTACGTCTTGGTTAGAGTATGAAAAGAGTAAGAAGCTTGAAAATTGTATTTTTGATTCGAAAATCGAAAATACCTTCCAAAGATTACTTAGACAAAACTCTCAAAACTGCAATCAATCAAATACAATGACTAAGAATCAAGGTGAGCAACAAATTCAAAGACGTGTAGTTGATAACTGATCATTGAGGGATTATGCCGATCCATTAGTTCAAGGACTTCATTCAAGCATTTGGAGGCCGACAATTCAAACCAATAATTTTGAGATTAAGCCAACCATCATTCAAATGATTCAAATGTCTATTCAATTTGAAGGCCTTCCAAATGATGATCTGAATGCTCACATTTCTAACTTTGTAGAGATTTGTGATACCTCCAAGCACAACGAAATCATAGATGACACTATTTGGTTGAGACTGTTTCTTTCTCATTGGGGGATAAGGCCAAAGTTTGGTTGAACTCTCTTCCCACCAGCTTTATTACTACTTGGGATGACTTTGCACAAATGTTTCTAATCAAGTTCTTCCCTCCTGCGACGATTGCAAAGATGAGGAACAATATTATTTCTTTCATGTAGTTGGATTCTGAGTCTTTATACAAAACATGGAAAACGTATAAGGGCTTGCTTCTAAGATGCCCACATCATGGTTTATCTAATTGGCTTCAAGGGCAAACATTTTACAAGTTGTTAAATCCAAATCGAACAACCACTGATACTGCAGCTGCTGGTGCTCTCATGGCTAAGCCAATTGATGATGTCTATGATTTATTGGAAGTGATGACGTTTAACAACTATCAGTGGCATTCTAAAAAGGCCTTGCCAAGGAGGGTCACTAGTGTGCACGAGTTTGATGCTATTAACGCATTAACTACTCAGGTAGCCACACTCACAAAGAAAATTGATTCCTTTGGAGTTCATTTGGTACAGAACCCCTTTATTACTTGTGACTATTGTGGTGAGGGGCATTCAAGCAATCACTATTATAAAATACCAAGTCGGTGCAATTTGTAGGAAATTGACAACAAAACAATCCATACTCCAACACATACAATCCTAGGTGGAAGAATCACCCCAACTTCTCTTCAAACAATAATCAGGGTCCTTCATCAGCTCCGAGATCGAATTTTTCTCTAGGTTTTCCACATCAACCTAGACCCCCAGTGCAAAAAACTAAGCCGTCCATGGAGAAGCTACTTATACAATATATGGCTAAGACAGATGCCTTTATTCATAGTCAAGCAGCTTCATTGAAAAATGTTGAGACTCAAGTGGGCCAATTAGTCAATATTGTCCACAATAGGTCTCAGGAAACCCTACCAAGTAATACTACGCCTAATCTAAGGAGGGAAAATGAGGAATCTTGCATGGCAGTATTCCTTCGGAGTGGGAAAGAGGTTGACAGTAATAGCAAGCAAGAAAGGCTGCAAGAGAAGCCAATAGAGAATAAATCAGAAGTTGGAAAGTCAAACAAGCAAGTGCAAGTCAAGGATGCACCGGTAACACACCCTCTTCCATTTCCTTAGCGCTTCTCGAAGCAAAAGTTGAATGCTTAATTTCAAAAATTTGTAGAGGTATTTATGAAGTTCCACATCAACATCACTTTTGCTAAAGTGTTGGACCAAATGCCTTCATATGTTCTGTTTTTGAAAGATACCTTGACGAAAAAGTGAAAACTAGGTGAGAATGAGACATTGGCACTCACTGAGGAGTGTAGCGCTATTATTCAAAACAAGCTACCACCAAAGCTTAAGGATCCAAGAAATTTTTCTATACCCTGTGTTGTTGGTAGTTCTAAATTTTATAGAGCTTTATGTGATTTGAGTGCTAGTATGTCACTGATGCCTTTATTTGTTGCCAGGAAACTTGGATTTAAAAACATTCAACCTATTACAGTTACTTTCCAATTACCAGATAGTACAATTTGAAACCATGTTGGGATCATTAAGGATATGTTAGTTAAAGTGGGGCATCTCCACATCCCGATTGACTTTCTTGTGCTTGAGATGGAAGAGGATGTGAAAATTCCTCTAATCTTGGGACAACATTTCTTGGCAATGCTAACGCACTCATTGATGTGAAAAAAGGTAAGATAACTTTCAGAGCTAAGAATGAGGTAATAAAGTTTAATATTTTCAATGCAATTAAGCATCTTGCCTCTTCAATTGCTTTAGAATGGATGTGGTTGGTGAGGGCAAGGGTAAACCTATTTCTCCACCTAAAAGTAATTAAGCACCAACCTTTAGGTTAAAGCTACCACCTACACAGATCCAAACCGAGCAGTTGCCTAAGGAGTATCATCCACCACTTCTCAGTTGTCTTGATTTTCACATTGGACAACAAGTGTCACTCAATAATTCTAGCTTCAAACTTTTTTTCATGGAAACGTAAAGTCAGATGGTTGGGTCCGTTTAAAGTGATTAAAATCTATTCGTGTAGGATAACAGAGATAGAGAGTGAGGTCACTGGAGCACTTATGGTCAATGGAATAAGCCTCAAGGCATATGTTGTGGATGAAAAAATGCAAAATGAGGTGAATCAGTCAAACTAGTCATTATAAAGAAGCGCTTCTTGCGAGGCAACTTAAGTTTTCAAACTTTTAATGTTTCTTTTATGTCTTTTCAAATTTTGAATTTTAGTTGTTAGATGTTAATTTTTCAAATTTCAGTAATTGATTTATGTTTTACTTCTTTTTTTTTGTTTGTAGGTCCTATATCATTCTGCCTCCATTTCGTTCAAAGTAAAAGGCAAAAGAGTGAAAATTAAAGAAAAGAATAAAAGGAAAACAAGTTCAACGTCGTAGCATTGGCTAAAACAGTAGATTTTTGTTTCAACTCTCCCACGTCGAAGGATCCCAATGCTGACAAGGAGAATGATGGGTAGGGAAAATGAGACCAAGGGAGTTTTCTTTCCTTAACTTTTGGTAACATTGGAGACAATGTTAGCTTTAAGTTAGGGGAAAAGTTTAAAATTTTAAACTTTGATATTTATTTTTTCCATTTTATGTTATTAGTTTCAATTTGAGTAAGTTGATTAATGTTTAGGTTTAGCAAATTTGTTTTTTTTTCTTGAAAATGTTAACTATGAGAAGTTGCACTAATTACTTTGATTCACTTATCTAATAATGAAAATTAGTTATCTTGTTATCTTTTTTTCTTAATACATGTGAATATTATCTCAGTATTATATTGAACTCTCATGTTTAGCATCACTGTAGGATGAGATCTTTCACAATTTAAGCACTATATCTCTTGCATTGAATTGTTGCATACATTTAGAGGAGATTTATGTAAATGTAAATTTTTGAATAATATCTTGAATTCTAGAATTTGTTTGAGTTTCTCTCGATGCGAAATCTTAGGCTATACTTAGTTAAAGAAATGACTTAAGCCATCCTTTGACCAATTGAGCCTTTCGAACCACCTTACTTTATATTTATCCCTAAAATACCTTTTTGAACCTAATGTAACCTTTTCTTTGTTTAAACACATAATTATTAATCTAAACCCTTACATAAAAAGTTTCAAATTTTGCATCTCTCACTCCTAAGTGCATAAGTAAATTTAGAAAGTATAATGAACAAAATAATGAAAAAAAGGTAGGAAAGATGAAAAGTGATTAAAAGTTCAACAATATTTTATATTCATTTCACTACCCAATAAAAGGAAAAAGTTTAGGGATATGTTATTGAAAAAAAAAAGAAGAAAAAGAATAAAGTGTTGAAAAAAAGAAAAATTTTATGAAAAATGAGTTTACTTGGTGAAGGAAAATGAAGTTTTAAATAGGTCCTAGATTGGCAATGTGTTTAGGGTGATTTGAGCCACATTATCTTATATGCTACCTTGATCCTAGTCATACGTTACAAGCTTGATAAAATCCTAAGAATCCTTAAGTAATTGTTAGTCTACATTAGTAGAGAGAGATGACAATCAAACATATGAAACTCTTGACTAATTTGAATTTTGCATGCATATAAACCTATCTGAATGGCATGATATTCATTGTAAGAGACTACGCACACACACATAAAAATCCATTTGAAAATGTACTTGCAATCAAGTTAAAATATAAACTTAAATAATATTTATAATTTGCTTTGAGTTGAGGAAATAAAATAACTTACGAGGATATTAAAGGTGAACATTGATTTGGTGCAACCGATTGATAGTTAAATGTTTTCATCTTTTATGTTTCTTTCTTTTGTTTTAAGATTTTGCTTGAAAACTAACAAAATATTAATTTTGGGAGTGTTATAACTCTACTATATAAAGTTATCTTGTCATATTTTGAGTGATGAAATGGCTAAGTCTTTGAGTTTAGGCAAAATTTTAAATAGTTTTTTTTTTTTTAAATTAGTTAACACATGATTAAGCTAGTTTATTTCAAGTTATTTTAGTTCATTTGTATGGAAAAAATGCCTATTTTTAGTTATGGCTGATTATGTTTTTAAGGTTCTCCAAAAAGAAGGGATCAAGTGACAAGAAATTGTAAATTTTGGCTAGGTGCAAACATAACCGAATATGTTACAGTATTTGATACTTAACTTAAGCTACAAAAGTCCAATCAACATGATTCTTGGACCGTTTCAAAGCTAAAAAAGAGGGCTACAACTTTCATATTTATTACTTTACCTAGTTCTAATTGGAACGTGGTCAAAATCGCGTTAGAAGTAGCCTGACCACAGCAGTTCTGCATTAGGTAGCTTGAAGAGCCAATAAGACATATCTCCCACACAAAACAAAGAGTTAGGCACTGCAGCACCAGCATGGGGTTTTTAAAATCAACATTTCCCGATTTTTGACTCTAGGACTTTAATGGAGGTATATATAGGCCATTTTAAAGGGGTTTTCAACAAGGGAGGTCAGAGCAGCTCTTCAAAGGAAAGAAAAATCATAAACAAAAGAAGAAAGGAAGATCAAGACTCAAAAGATGCACAAATTTGTTTCGGTCTCTAGATTTGTCCTTCTCTCACTTTCTTTTGTTGTATTTATGGTTTCTTTCTTGTGGATGATGTTGCTAAGAATATGATGAACTAAATAGCTTTTTCTAGGATTGTGGTTAAGCTATTCATGTAGTTTGGATATTTTAACTTTCTTTTAATTATTATTAATTGGTATTGTGTTGTTTATTTCAAATCTATGCTTATTACTTCTCTTTTTTTTTTAATTGGGAGAAAAAGGATTCGAGCCTTGCTCTTTGGGCAAGGGATCATGCACCAACCAATGAGAGAAATGCTTGAGTTCGCTTATTACTTCTAATTGCTTGATCAACAATTAGATTGAGTTGAGTCTCTAAATGCAACAAGACAAAGAGAGCTTAGAATAGACCAAAGGTTTGAATAGCACGTGTTCACTTTCCTTAGAGCCTAGGTGATTTGATTAGTACTTAGGATAAAAATATACCTAAATACCATATGCAACCAAATTTAGGGCATAGGCTTAGTGAACCTACCTTAATTAATTTATAGACATATGGAGAATTAATTATGATAAGTATGTTTACAACATCTTGACAGAAACTTGTAGATAACTTTGAACTCTAAGCTAACAACCAACCCATTGATATAAGTGTAAAGAAGAAAATTAAATTCAAATGAAAGGTAGAGTAATTCCACAATCCTAGACTTTAATTCACTGATCCTCTAGCAATTTTTAGCATTGATTCCCCAGTTTAACCTTGTTAATTTAATTTCATTTTTAATTAATTTTCAAATTCGATTTACTAGGATAAGATTAGGGTGCTCAATTTTAGTATTTAGTAAGAATTTAGAGACAAAACCCTGTGGAAAGAATACTTACTATTATATTACTTGTGCGACACGTGCGCTTGCGTGTGTGTAAAACAAACAACATCTCCCTCACCCAATGAGGGGAATACCAGAAAATGATACATGCAAACAGCTTCTATCATTTCAAACATCTCATTGTGTCAGAGAATCAAGTTCTTTTGTAAGTTAGAAAAGGAGGGAAGAAAGAAAAGCCATAATATCTATGTCCAGCAAAGGCATATAGGTACCACAAAACAGATACAAGATCATTGCAGGCAAATTGTAGATAAAACGCAGTTATATATAATAAAAAAAATTCAATCAGTTGCTATAGCTAACTTATAAAAACACAATCAAAAGGGATAAACATTGCACTTTTAATTGTAGATCTACTTAGGATGATAGACCAAATTTACCACCCATCTTTGGATGGGTGCAATTAAACATTGCACTTTTAATTTAATTCAAAAATGGTCAAAAGTTAATGGGAGAAGAAATATATATATATATATATTTATGGCAAACTGTATAGAATTCCTCCTCTGTATAGTTTGCTACCTTTGCCAACAAATTATGTATGTATGTATGTATGTATGTATATGATGAGGAAAACATCATACCAACTCATCATCTTCTGGGTTGTCTCCTCTTTCACGATTCTCACGAAGGATTCTATTTTCTTCCTCCAGCTGAGCACATCTCTCCTTTGCAAAAGCCAAATCAGCTTTGACAGTTTTTAACTCTCGAAGAAGAAGCTTTGCCTTGGCAGCCATGGCCATTGCAACCTGTTATAAAATTAAAGAGCCAAATTATGCACAAAATCATCAAGAGAAAATCATTTCATAGAAAAAAAATGATCTGTTATATTTATTCCGCATCCCTAAACAAAACTACAACCATCTTCTAAATGAAGAAAAGTGAAAACTCAGTAGTCCATATGGTTCCCGCTCTTAATAATGCTACTATATCTGAGCTTATAAACAGCTTTGGGAAAAGTTATCCACACATCTTTAACACAAAGGATTACATCAAATATAAGAAATTCATTATAAGGAAGAAGGAAAAATCTTAAGCATGTTCAAAACATTTGTGTCACTGTTATACTGTTAAACCGATCTGGTAATGAGGCTTCTAGAGCTAGAAAATCACAGTTTAAGAGCAACGCTCACAGCAAAATACATCCATCATATGAACCAGTGACACAGCTGCCACCTTACGTCGCGAGATGCCTTCAATTGAATTTCTTGATCTCCTTGCATTGGCAGTCGTACTTGCTGCTGCATTTGTGGCTGTTTAGCTGCCTGATTTTGTGGCACAGAACCACCGGGCTTTTTCCTGATATGTTTGCGGGTTTCTTGAATGATGCCCGCAGTCCGGTTCTCCACAATCGTAAAACCCTCCTGAAATGCAAGGCGAAGAAGAATGAATAAGTACAGGTTGGTAAACAATTTGAAGATACAAGAGAGACATGCAAGTTCTACGCCAGAGAAAATGCATATAGATTGGCACATGAACATTTGGCTACCAACAAATATAAATAAGTCATACAAAATAGTTTAAATAGATCAAAAGCACCAAAGAGAGCATAACAGCCCTTTAATTTTTTCCTTTCTAATTATGTACAAACAATTTATAAAATAAATGCTAAGTGATACTAGGATATCATATATTTATTACCAAAAACAAAGGGGATAAGAAGACCTCAACAGCATTACCAATGTAATTTTGGGATGATGCAATTGCACCTAAACCCTTCTGCAATGTGGGATTGTCCATTTGGCGATGCCTATCATGTGACTGGTATATCTTCTGGTGCTGCAGATAGCAGAGAGTGAAAACAAATAAATAATCAAATATATATAGGATCAAAACTCATAAGTAAGCAAGTAAAGAAGCATTTGACTCAATGCTCGCACACCAGAGTTGAGAAAGTTTTGTTCAGAACAAGTGATTATATAATTCAATTATCACTAATAAAAAATTTCAAAGTAAACCGCCGAAAGAACTTCGAATGGAAAAGGAAATAAAGTGTGTATGAAGCTGCTGCTTCTTATTAGTATTGTGGCTACCAAAAGCATGATGGGTAATGGGTGTAATGTTGGATTCTGACCTTTTCTGGCATTGGCCTCTGAGGCAGTTTTGATTTAGCTTGTCCATCTGAATCAATTTGGTGTGGCACATTATCATCATCCAAGAAGGCTTTAGCTTTTCTAGCGAGAGAACCCCAAAATCCTTGCTTGGATTCATTTAAACTTTTCATAGACGTGTATTCATGGAACTGGGAATCCTAGAGTGACAACCAGCTATATCCAGTTAAAAAGGTTGGATTTCTACAGAATCATTAGGCAAAAGATTGTAACAAGCATAGAAATACAAAGTAGTACAAAAGAGAGAAAAAACCTTGGGGTGTAGTGGGGGGTGGGGTGGGGTGGAGATAGGAGAAGCAGAACGAAATGAAGGGAGCCGTAGCCGTAAGCGGAGGAGAGAGAAAATATTGTGGGCGGAGGATGCCCTTATGGCTTTGGCTGCATCCACTTCCACATCTACCAAATCGTCGGCTGCTGCTGCCAATATTTCCTGCTGCTGCTGCTGCCTCCTTCTGTAAGCATCCTTATTCCTGTTTCTTTGCTCAACACCATCTACTCCTTTTGTTCTTGCTTCAATCAGCCAAGTCCGAATCTATCTTACTATTCCATTAAAGGAAATTAATTGCACTTAATTAAACCTGTCTCGCTCTGTCTTGCGACTCGGCAATGGGACGTCAACGCTAATTTCTATTCTAATCCATTCTCAAGCTTGTTACAGCCATTTCCCAATTTCCGGTTGTTTGACTAGCCCATTTCTCCATTTCTACTTCACAATCAGTTACAGCTGAGAACAGCCCACAGGCCCATACACTGTATAGTTGTAGTTCTTCCCTCTACACATTATGATTACATACCACACTTTTCTTTCGCCTCTACTTTTGGGCTATGGGCTTTCTTGCCTTCTATAATCTACGCCACTAACTATTCCCACTTCCTCCCTTTTTATGCTTGGAGTGTTATCTATTTTCATTAATATCCTCCTCCAATTTCTACTTTACTTTCTTTGCTAATAACTGCTCTAAAAACTACATTAAATTTAACATCTAAATAATATAATATATTTAGAATGATCACAGTCAGTGTTGATTTCAAAGCCATTTCCCAAACATCATCATCTTTTGTTCACTAGAAGCTTAAGGAGGCAAAAGGACTAGGAGGAGCAAAGACACAAAAATGCCCGCTATTAGTATGGAGTCAAGACTGTAGTAGTGATGAAGGACTCATACTGTATATATATATATCACACCCAAATGAAAGGTGCAATTTGTATGAGTCGTGATGATGAAAACTTGAGGAGATCTAATTGGCGGCAATGGGCTGAGTGATTCTAATGGCAGTAAATTCAGCAGCGAGATTAAGGCCATTGTGATACGTGATTTTGTGGTTGTGATGATTTTTTTTTCCTTCCTTTCTTTAAGATTGCTCCCTATCCATGGCGGATAGGAGAGACCGACCCCAGCTTGTATAGCATTTAACTTAAAATTAATGATAAGTGAAAAAGATGCAATTAGCATGATGGCGATCATTTAGCAATGTCAGTTTCGGAGGTTAATGTCTAATATATACAGGAGCTTGAAGAAAATAAAGAAAACTATGTACTTGCAAGGTTCAAAGCTGCGCTGAATTGCACTTTTAGATTCATTCCCAATTTAAGGTTTGCAGAGCTTGACATATTTTGGTGTTATACTACACATATGGTAGTGGTTGGTTTCGCCCGGTCAATACGGCTAATAAGGATCTAGTCATGAAAAGACAAGAATGTTTAACAATGCAGTTTTTACTTGGCATGATGGGAATCAAGGTCAAATAAGGTACGTCTTCACACGACTTTATGCTAAAATAGTGAAATATTTTCCCGAATAAAAAAATGTTGAGCATAATTAATAGCATGCTTTAGATCAGCTTGGCGTTGCCCTTTGAGTTTCTACAATATTAATAGCATGTTTTTAAAAATTACATAGGACATTTATACACTCTCTACATATATATATAGTATATATATATAGGGTAGGTGTGGAAGTACAAGTAGAGGGTTTCCAAGGGGAAACTAGAGCTCTAGCGGTAGCACAGTAGCTGCCAATACAGAAGAGAGAGAAGAAAGCAAATTAACAGTCAAAGAAACCCCACACGCCACTCACCCCCTTTTTTCTCTAACATGACTATTTGTGTATGTGGTGTGGCACTAAAGAGAGCTTGTTTTAGCTTTTATGTGATGGAGTGAGAAGAGAGATTAGAGATCAGCTTTTATTGCTGCTGCACCTTGTAATATATTATAATTAATATACTGCAGCGTATATAATTATATCTGGAGAGAAGAGATAGAGAGCACTTTATCCGAAAAAACACATTCCCTGGATATAGGGTTGCAGCATCTCCTGAAAGTCTCCGATGAAAAGAAAAGAAGGGGAAGAAAAGAAAAAGAAAAAAAGAAAGATTTGTCTAGATATTCAATCGCTTTCCTCTCTGACTCTCATGAAGACAGCGACGCATCTTCTTCTCTTCCTCTGCCTCTGCCTCTCAATTATACTACTTATCTTCCGTGATTTGTGCACTCTCTCTCTCTTTCCGCTTTTTCTTTTCTTCTTTCTTCCTCTTACATGGTTTCATGAGCTTCTCCGTCTAATCTGTTTAGTTCTAGTTTATTTCTTGCTTTTTTCCCGGTCCTTTATGTAACGGATCCGTAACTGATCTCGTCGTTGTAGCGTAAAGGATTTAGCCTTTGTGGAGATGTGCGCAGAGCAGTCAGTGCTGGAGATATTGGGTGTGACCAGGCCTTAAATGAAGAATGTCCTCATTCCTCACCACAAAACTGGTAAGTGAAGTGATATTGGTGTTTAGGCTAGACTTGTTCATTGATTTGTCTCTTGTCTTGTGCATAGCTAGCATTCAAACCCATAACTAGTTTACTCTCCTCGATCGGTGTCATGCCACTTAATTGCAAGCTGCTTCCTTCGTGCTGCTCTGCTTATAGTATATACATCCAGAGATAACACTGTTCCCTCGGCCTTTTTGAGGTTACCGCTGATCTTTATATAATATATATCCGTGGGTGATTAAATTTTCAGCTCTGGATAAAATTAAGAGTAGATCTCTGAAAAGTGATATATATATATATATATTTATATATACACATATGCATACATACACTTGAAAGACATTAGTGTTGATGCGTGATAATCACCCCTGGCCCTGGGATTGAGTTCATGTTTGATCTAGTATACTTTTTGAGTGGTGCACGGTGACCTAGGCCGCAGCGTCTTGCGGAATCTGTCCCATTTGAGCAATTGAGTTGTCTAGTCCAATTATCTGTCTTAGTGACTTTTCTTTTCTTGGTATGAGAAACCTTTTTATCACTCATTAGGGTTAGGGTTCATGTGAGCAATTTTTTCTACTTGGGAAACGTCTTGATTTCTAGGCCTTTCATTTTTGGATTTCCTTAATTGACGTTTTTCCTTGTTTCGTTGGCTTACAACCCCAAGATTCTTAATTTGCTGCTATTTGCGTTGTGCAAAATAAATAAAACCTTTAATTTCCTTAATTTTTCCATTTTTATCCCATTTTTGCTTCTTCCTCCTTCATCCTTATGGGATTTGATTTGAGATAGGGTGGATGCTACAAATATGAGCAACAGCAACCTTTTTTCATTGCCTTTTAATGAACATCCCTTTCACGTTAATGCCGACATGGTTGGTTATCAAAGCAGATAATTTACTGTACTTGTATTACACAGTCACAGGTGAAGAAAAAGAAAAGGACATTGCTCATTGTTGTAATACTAATATTTTATCTAAATCCAGTGATCGCTGAGAAGATTTCTCAATAAACTTATGGTCTAACGTCTTCCCTCCCTAGTAAGTGAATTAATTATCAGTGTTCATTGTTGGAATTACTCCCCATCAAATTGTGGTGCACTTCATTGAAACTATACTTGTGTATTGACTGTGTTTGGTATGTGTGGGTGTTTTAAGCTGTAAATTCTTCTCTTTTTCGCCAATTTTTATCAACTGCATCACACAGTTGGATAAGTTAAGAGTGGTTTGTGTGTGTTAGTACATTTGTTTAGATGAATGGTCTAAGAGAGCTTCCTTCAGTCCACTCATGGATGGGTTAAGGGTTTGGATTAGCTGCCGACTCATTCATTCAAACGCAGTAGAAAGGAGTAGTTATTGCTACTGTGAATGTGTGAATGATGCGGGAGGTAAATTTCATCCTTCTCCTCTCTGTGCTTGGACTGAAGGGAGCTCCCTTTTATCATTTTCTTTCTTCCTAATTTTACATAGTTACACAAGACTGGTCTAGCTATGAAGAAATTAAGTAGTCGAAAGACTAGAGAAAAATCAGTAAAAAACTTGAGCCCTTAGCAGTTGAGTTAACTTGCTACGACTTGGGATCAAACTAAAATGCTTAACCCGACCAATTTTGCTATGAAAATTAATTTCCACCAGTAATTTATTCACCTTTCTATTGTATTTTCCCAAGTTTTGATCTAGGTAAGGAATGGAAATGCAGATGTGTGTATCTCATCCAGGTTAGCCTTAATTGTTTCTTTTGTTGTGTGAGTGGAAATTAATATTGTTAGCTAGTGTTTTTCATCAAGGCTGAACATGCATGCATTTTCTTTTTATTCAAGTAGTGATTTTAGCAGTGTGGCTTCTTACATTTTTTTTTTCTAAATTTATAATTTTTTGCCGAGGCCCAAAGGCTAAATCATCCTATTTCTGGTTTTGCTCGGTTGAACAAGTTAGATTTTAGCAAACATGGCAACCAACAATAAGGACGCTTGTGTCTTTGTTCTCTTTGTAGTGTCCTTAATTTCTCAACAAAATACCCTCGTCATTGTGCTAGTGCAGCAGTAAAGTATTAATCTAGATTGTGTTAATATTTGCATCGAAGGAAAAAGGTATAATTAATTAGTAACTTAATAAGTGAAATGTTAAAGGTGTAATTAATGTCATGAACAAACTAATCTCAGGCCTTCATGTGGAAGCATATATATATATATATATATATATTTATATCTAGGACTGAGGTAGTTAATTGTTAGATGAAAGCCTGAGGCATATTATATATATACATATATAGATAGATAGATATAATTAAGTAATTAGTGATGATCAATGCAATTAATAGTCGATTTAAGTAAAACCCCAATACGTTAAGACTGGACGTAAAAACATGGTACACTGTGAAAAAGTGATGAAAACTGATGATATACTAGCTAAAGCTAGGCTAGCTACTAGCAAGTCTACTTGCTAGTTAATAACCCTGGGGTGTGCTAGATATTTGAAATGGCTGAAAAAAGCTGTAATTCTGAAGGGATTGGATCTCCGCTAACTGGGCAGGGAAGCTACAGTATTTGTCTCTATTCTTTTGGACTTGGTGTACGCACTGGTTGTAACTCGGAACTTGGAGCGACTTCGAGAATTGCGTTGGAACGGAGGGTGCTCTATATATTCTAGTATTTCTATCTCTATCAAAGCCACATACTAGGTAATTCTGCCTGTGGAATTAGGCTTTTAGGAAATGGAAAAGGAAAATGGGGGTTGCTCGGCCCGGTGCCCGGTATCCAGTATCCAGTATCCACTGTCCTCTTATATAATAATTAGCTGCAATAGCACGCAGACAAATTGACAATGAAATAGACACTATTATTTATATATCGTCTGTGGCGGTTTTGCTTCACTTCTTTTGTGGAGCTGAGGCATACGCTTTTACATTTTCAAGTATGGAAAGCCAAATTTTATAAACAAGCGATCTGATCTCAATCACTTGCTTAATTAAATAAGGCACTTCCCTGGAGCCTCTCGAGAATGCAAGTACGATTGAACTACATTTTTAATACGACTAGTTTTCCTTTTTCTAGGTAACCAGCCGCGGCATGTGTCAGCGCTTTAACCTTTGTCTTAAAATAATACTACTTGTACTAGCTAGTGTCACTTTCTTTTCTCCTATGAATTGCGCCCTATTCTTCTTCCTCTTTTATTATGTGTCTCGTGTCAAGCAAATATAGTCATTAATTCTTAATTACGTTTATCACGTTGCTGAGAATGTGGTTACTCTTTGATATAATAAAAGAAAGTGATAATTATAAAAAATATGATTGTTTAACATATTATATTATAGTGTTTGATTTGTAATCATTTTATCAAAAATATAATATAAATTGATAAAATTACTTTATGTATAAAAAACATATAAATTGAATAAATTTATAATTTTTAGTATAAGATTTAACTTTTTAATTTTAATTAATTAAAATAATAAATAATAATATTAAAAAATAACATAATATTTTTATATTAATTATTTAAATATTAAAATATATAAAATTATTAAATATTTATTTTTACCTTAAACTTATAAAATTTAAAAATAAAATACATTATCCAAAAAAATCTATGGATAGATGTATTATTTTAAGCGTTTGCTTTTTTTTCTCTGAAACAGTGACACTCAAGCACCTTTTCCTCCCAAATCATCTTAATACCTTAATAAATTTCCTACATTCTAAATCGTTTAAATGTTTCTTTCTTCATTTTTGATATCAAAAATATAAATTTTTCTAAAAAACATTTATAAATTTTTGAAAATTTAAATTAGGGTTTCATATAACCTAGAGCCCCAATCTCTCTAATTTTCAGTTTTGGTAACGAAATTTGATCCAAATGTGTTAATGATGGACTACCTTTCCTACGGGCAGTGAGAAATGAAGGAGAAGAAGGCAAGGTGAGAAGAAGGAGAAAAAGCCAAAAGGCAAGAAGGAAGAAAGTGGTGAAGAAGGTAGGAAGGAGAGAAAGGCTCGGGAGGTTAAGTTGGGGAACAAAAATTTTTTTGCTTTCCATTTGCTAAGAGAAAGTAACTTTCTCTCCGGGAGATAAGAAAATGGCATTCTCTTCTCTTATTGCAATAACATTGCTGAGGGATTACTTTTCCATCCTCAAAACATCAACCAAATGCTGCTATGTAATTCTCTGTATTTTAATTACAAAGAATGTCCCTCACTTCTTATCTATCAAACGCCGTCTTAAACTTTTCTTAAGAAATTGACTTGGTGGAATGGAGGATGAACAGTTACAATCCTTCATCCCCGGATGCCTTGCCTAAATCTCTTTGCCTTTCCCATTCTCTTCCATTCCATTGCATAGACAATCCCTCTGGTTTAGATGTTAACTAAGATTAATTATACTTACATCTCCCCTCTGGTTTCAAAATTTTTCATTTGAAACATCCTGTTTACGAAATTAACGCTTTCGAGCCAGAGTGGATTCAATCTAAAAACCTAAGCCCAAACTCAGCCTGACCTACGAGCTTGGCCGGACTGGCTTCAACGCCTCTATTTGCAATGAAAGGGATACCCAACGTGTAGCGTAACATGGAAAAATAGACTGACGTCATATGAGATTAACAACACATAACATCCGTCAACTTCCTTTTCTTCTAAAGTAAATCTTACTTAAGCATGTAATTACATTAATTAGGAAAGACCTGCTACAAAGAAAAACTAGTTTCGAGCAGAAGCAAACAAAAAGTAAGGCAGCAAAGAATGGACAAAAATGAAAAAACCAGAAAAGTCTAGTATGAAAGTGCAAGAGCAATGTGAGTCTTGTTCCAGGTTGATCAACTTCAAATGGTCAACTAGCTAGCTAGGGTTTGCTCCGCCCTGGTTTCCATCAATCATTAAGTAGATGCTCGGAGCTGAGGCATCCGATGGGAAGCAGGGAGGGAGACATAGGCACATAGCCACCAAAACATGGCTGATTGAGTAGTAGCTTTGTTTAATGTTAATTAGTGGGGACTAGGAATCTAGTATTTACAAGAGTGAAAGAGATTTATTAAATGGAAAGATGAGGCTACCATCTCGTGATTCCATCTGTAGATAAGGTGGGCTTGACTAGGATACATGTATAATGTTCCTGGAGTCTACATTGCGCTCTTTTACTTTCTTCTTGGAAAAGGAAACTTGATCCGAATGAAATGCTCAGAGCTGGAACAACAGCTCACCTTTTTCAAACTCTGACCATAACCAAGACAAGGCAAATTTATCGTTTTGGCAAGGATGTTGCCTTTGAAAGAGAGGACAGGGTTGAAAAGTTCCAAGTAGAGATTAACCAGGAAATTTGCAGAAGCAACAGCTAGCACCGCTGCAGTTTTTCAATCATCTTTGCATATTTTGGTTGATATTCGTTTATTTTTATATATATGGGAGCAAGATTTTGTTACAACATTTAGTTGAATTCCACTTGCTCAAAAAGACGTTTGAAAATGTGAATGGAAATGTGGCATACTGCGAGGCGTATCTTGTAGTAATGATCAACTAAAACCTGTCAATCCGGAAGAATGCAGTTTACATTTCTTTCTTGTTTTCTAAGTTTGCGCCATCAGAAAGGAGCACTCTAGTCTAGTCGGGCCCATAAGTAGGGGAACCGGGCTGAACAGCTACCCGGCTTTGTATAATAATAAGATCATGGACGAGACTAAAAAAAGCTGCGGTCAACAAGATTACCGACGGCGTGAGCTCAAGCTACACATCCTGGGCGGGCATTTTTTATTCAAAACGGGTTGAGTCATGTTTACCTTCGCTTCATGGTCAGATTCCTTTCAACAATGAGCCCAGCCCAAGACTACTGCCAAGGGTAATTTCTTAATTTCTTCTTTTTGATCAAAACGATTGGTCCCACAGCCCAGGACTGACCTTGAGGTAGCCTAGCATTCGTGACTCAGAATTATATAAAAACGTAAGCAATCAAAACTCCTAATGAATTGAAATGTTGCAAATTCCACAATATTGCCAAGTAATTGTTAGCCATTAAGGAAACGTTGAACAAGAATTGCTTGAAACCCAAGCACAGTCCAAGGAAGATACCACTAAGAATTCAACAAAACAAAAGTTCTTTCATCACGCACCAACATTAATGACAATAAAAGTCTCAAAATACTACTTCGACTTCGCCAGGTACTCCCATATTTTAAGCAACATCTTAAGCACTAGCATGCAGGAATGCTCTTCCTGGTTGGCGATTCGCCAGAGGTCCATGGCATCCAAGAAGCTGCAAGGCCAAAAATACATCTTATTGAGTTCATAGTAGGGTATAATTAACAAGAAGCTCATCACAAGGTGTTAACAACCCAATGATAAACATCACCAAGGAAAAAAATGTAAGATCTAACATCTAAGACAAACCTTAGCATTAACACCATCAGCCACAATGCGATTCTCCGACTTGTATTTCAAATAATCAGTACGGCTGTACTTTGTAAAACCCCTGAATATTGTAGAAGAGCCAGTCACTTAGAATGCCATATAATTATAAGATGTGAAGTACGCAATCATTTTACAAATATGGAGCCCCTAAAAGCAGTTATGGCAAGTGAATTGCATACCACTTCCTGCTGACAATAATCTTTTGGCGACCAGGGAACTTGAACTTTGCTCGACGGAGGGCCTCCTGTGCATGATGGCTGTTGCTGTCCTTGCAACGAACAGAAAGAAGAACCTGACCAATGGCTACTCTTGCACAAGTGCCTTGTGGCTTGCCAAAAGCACCTCGCATGCCAGTTTGAAGCCTATCAGCTCCAGCACATGAAAGCATCTTGTTGATACGCAAGACATGGAATGGGTGAACACGGACACGCAAGTGGAAGGCATCCTTTCCAGCATATTTGGCCATATATTTGTTGCAAGCAATTCGAGCAGCTTCCAGGGCTTCACTAGACACATTTTCTTTCTCCCAAGATACTAGGTGCACACAGAAAGGGAACTCATCCACACCTTTCTTTTTCATCCCCACATCATAGATCCTGATCTTTGGATCCGGAACACCACGGCAATAACGTGACTTTGGGTAAGGCTTGTTTTTGATCTGACGATAACACCTTGCAGGTCCTGCAAGCCAATAAATCATGTTAATTTCAATTAGAGAAGTTGCTATAGTTTACCCAAAGAATGTCATATCCTGAATTCTGAAACAAATCCATTAAGAGGTAAAATGGTGTGAGAGATCTAAAAGATTAATCCAGGATGCCAAGCATCTAATACTAGCATGATTTGCAAATGTGAACCCAGATACCCTGAGAAAGGACAGTGAAAGTGGGAAACTCATTTTCATTAGCTAAATGTATTAAATTACAGAGACAGATCCCTTCATATCATAAAATTTTCCATCCAACCATTGATAGATAAGCTAGAAAATTTTATTATTTTTCTCTTAAAAAATGGCAATTACCATGTCATCATTCCACCAGTGAGTGGAAAGTCATTTGAGTATAACAAGTTCTTCAAGAAGCAATATGATCAAAGCTGACGCAGCAAAACGGAATGCTTGAGAAGCAAATGAAAAATGAATAGTGAACAAAAAATGGGCAAGATTATAAAAGGAGAATAAAAAAACATACTGAGAAGAAAGGTAGGAAACATTAAAATAAAAAGATTTCAATGTTTAGCAGGTACATATCCTCAAACGTAGATGTTGGCACTTTGCAGTTTGAGATAATTCATCTCATCAGATCATCAACAGACAGCAGATAAGTCAACATATCCATAATTAAGAGATGGCGAGTCAGTCCAATACATTTACAAGCGTATGCAATCCATCCATTTAGTTACATAATTCAGCAATATCACCAGCTCGTTAAGAATCCACCCCACAAGTCCCAAAATGAAAAAAGAGAAACATTGAAGTGGTATTGTAGAATTGCATAGCACGTAAAAGGGTAAAGGCAGGCATAAATTTCTAATTAAAACACAAAATCCCCAAAGTCTCGCTATTTTGTCAAATCCAACCAAATCTAAGACAGACTAAATAAAGAGATAAACCACTATTCATTTTTTTCCAAAAAAATAAAGGATAAAGGAAAACAAAAGCGACAATGTTCTATAAGCAAAGCAAACAAACACTAAAACTATACAACCATTCCTTAAAAAAGCAGAACAATCATTCATTTGCAGGTTACTTATTCAAATACAATACAATCGAAAATGAAAAAAACGCGCGAGAAATAGACGGAGAGACTCACTCCTTCCCATGGCGGTAGGTCTGTGGAAATTTGCAGCTGCGGCTGGAACAAACCCTAGATAAATGAGAGAGAAAGAGGAGGAAAACCTTTATATAGATAGCATAAGGTTAGAAACCTAGCTAAAATAACACGTTCTACGCGCCATTGTACGTGTGTGATTGCGTCATCATACAATCTTCTTAAACTTCAGCCCACCAGGTTTGGGCCATCACGTCGGCGCAAGTGGTCGGCTTGTTTGACCCAACTACTGGAAATCCTGGGTTGGATTGGACCTTAGAAGAAATTTTAAAACTTTAGTATTACTTGTTTATTTTTGGTAACGAATTATTATTATTATTATTATTAATTAATACTAGTAATAAATAAAAAAAATGAACATCTTGATTGAATAATATTGATTCTTTCACTAAGATTTTATGAATCGAAATAACCAATATTACTTTGAAAGATTATTCTTTCAATGTTTTTTCTTTCAGTTTTTTTAAGAAAAAAAATTCAAAAATAACTTTTTAATTGAAAAATTACATGCATATAGTACGTAGTTTTCAATTGAAACAAAGAAGTAATGAATGTACACCCCATGCCATTTTCATTTTTGTAATTTGTTGAAGTTTATTAGATATTGTTTGGATAAGCACTCAAACATTTATCTCTTAGTTAATGCATAATCTCCTTGTCTAAAATGCAAGTTCAAATCCCCATCTTTCAATTATAAAAAAAAAAAAATATATTGCTTGGATAATTGTAGAATCAAATGTTGGTGTGCTTAGCGTAGGACACCAAATAACAAACTATGTTACCCAACTACTTCTATGTTGTACAAAAACAAGGCTACGTGAAGAACATTCTGTAAATATCAGGGACCAAGAAAGCAGATGGTCCAAAATTCACAAGAAGATAGCCTCCATCTCCATCTTGTTTCATCTAGGTGTGATGGTGGGAATGACTCCACTAACAAGGTCACTTCCAGAGACATCGGATGACACATAGGGGTTCTTCACCATTGAAGATGAGGAAGGTGGAGTCATCTTTTCAGGTACAGTGTCAATGGATTCTGGAACTCCAATTTCAGACTCTGGCATCATCAGCCATATATTTTCAAGTTCACGAACCACATCTGCCATCGAAGGTCTAGGATCTGTCTCATCTTGGCAGCATTTCAGGGCCAATGTCACAAACTTCTCCACACATTCAGAAGGATAAGAACCCATTCTCCCATCAACAACCGAGAAGATCATACCAGAATGATATGCAACATTAACCTGATGCCCATGGAAACCAACATATCATGAAAGAATACAGACATACAATCTGAGTCCGGACAATCATCAGCTTGCTTGATATTGATATTCCATGCAAGGAATTAGAGGTTGAACATCTTATTTCCCAGACACCCACCCCCAGGAGAAATATGAAAGCACCGTTCTTTTTCCTCCTCATTTTAATGGAAAGAAAGTAGATGTAGCCTACATCTTATTTAGTGTAATGATCCAATAACTTTTGTTTTCAACCTAAAATTTCCTACCAGAAGAGGAGGATGTCACTGCAATCAGAATCTCAAGTTCAAGGAAGAGCAGCAGATAAACATTACCTCTCGAACAATGTTTTTGCCATGTGAGATCGGTTGCATCCCAGTCAAAAGCTCTAGAAATACAACACCTAGGCTATATACGTCACTCTTGTCTGTCAACTTATGTGTTAGGAAATACTCAGGGTCGAGGTAACCCTGCCAAGAGAAAACAAATATTAGACACGGAGATAATAGACTTTTTTAACCACATCCTGATTGTTGCCTCTTCCATGAGATAGTACAAGTCAATTTCACCAATTTTGAATTCCATCCTATTGCAATTTTCCAGTGCACCTATTATAAGTTATGTATAAAGGAGGGCTTTTTCATCATCTTAAACCAAATTCTGGCTTACACTCTTGATTGTTTGTATTATTAATATTTCCAAAAATTTCATGTTGCTGCGCTGGTTTGTCCAAATACTAGCATTATGACATCCCAGGACACATAGATGCTCGAACATTGCTGTTTATCTAGAACACTGGTGATATAATCAGCGATAAGAGGAATTGTACTGAATAAAAAAGAGATAGGAGTAAAATCAAAATCAGGTCTCTAATCAAGCTCCAGTTCATTAGTCTCATAATTTCTTTGAAACTCTCAATAAAAATACTTACTGGAGTCCCCTTTACAACTGTAGACACATGAGTAGGCATTGCCCCTTCGACATCTGGAACTGGGGCAAGTCTCGATAGTCCAAAATCAGCTACCTTTGCAGTAAACTTTGAGTCCAATAGTATGTTGCTAGCCTTGATATCTCGGTGGAATATGGGGGGATCAGCTTCTGTGTGTAGGTAGAGGATTCCCTTGGCTGAACCAAGGGAAACTCTTAATCTCATCGCAAAACTCAGAGGTTCTTTAGACTTAGCTGTTATATCATATGAATATAACATCAAATTAAAGCATCTACTATTAGCATAAAAACCAAGAGGACTAGAAAAAGTTAATTTTGCATTCCTTTATTGTCTAAAAGGCACAGTTAACTGGACAATAGATGAAGTACCAGAAAGATGATCCCTCAGAGTGCCATTTGACATAAACTCGTATACCAGCATCTGCATTTGCAACAAGAATTCATGTGTAGTTTCTCTCCATATGATGAGGTTCAACAAATACAAAGAGGGAATAAATAAGAACTAGTCCTAGTATAGCGTAGCACAAAGCAATTGGAGCATTAGCACTTCTCATTAAGAATGAAGTTAGAAGAAAGTATTCACCTTGTTGAGAGTGACAAAAGAGCCAAATGATAAAACCTCACTGTACCTCTTTCCATCTGTGTGTATGTATATTCTCATTTTATTTTTTGGTCATAGTTGAAAGTAACTATTCAAAGGATTTTACATATTTCAGTTTTGTTTTGATTTCAACAATTTGAAATATTAGTTAAAATTGCATTTAGTGCATAAGTGAATGGAAACTGTACAATAATGATTCGTCCATTTATCACATTGCTGGCCAAGCAATAGATGGGCTTAAGGTACAATGGATTCCATTGAGGATAATACAGGTGAATCAAAATTTTCCAAAGTGATGGTGTATGCAATATGTATAATACATAATCAGAAACAGATGAGTGCAAGTACCTGCTCGCCTTCTTCATCACAATATCCAATCAAAGACACAAGGTTCCGATGGTGTAATCTTGACAATAATTGAATTTCAGTAAGGAACTCCTTCTCACCCTGTAATGATCCCTCTTGAGCACGTTTTATGGCTACTACCATGCCATCAGCCATATTTCCTCTATAAACCTTCCCATAACCACCTTGGCCAACTTGAGTGGAGCTGTTAAAATTGTTTGTTGCCATGGCCAATTCTGCATAAGTAAAACTCTTGACACCATCTATCTTCATTGAAGCCTTAGAAGCTGTACAGAGAAACAAGCTCAATGTTAAAAGCAAACTTTCTTAGACTAGCAAAAAGGATTTTGCATAATTGTGTGCCAATCATGAACAAGACTATTTGAATAACAAGAAGATAAATAAAAAACAATTTCAGTCACAACTTTCCATATAAATGATGAACAATAATTCAAAATATCAAATATAAACAAGAATGTTTGGCTGCAGACATATAAAAGTGTGCACAATGTCCAGATAGAAATTGCAATTTGCATAGTCAGGCACATCCAATTTCAAAAGTTTAAGATACTCACTACGGCGTTGTTTTGAAACTACACGATAGTTCTTCAAACCCACTCTCAAGATTAAGAGTGTAACAACCGCAGATAATGTAACTGCAACAGCAATGCCCCCCAGTACAATGCCAATCACTGCACCAGTGCTTATACCAGATTTTGAAGTAGTGACCGGCACTGCAACATCAATGAGAATTTAGTACTATGCTCATAGACTAATCAAAGTTATTCTTCATCAATACTATATCCACGTGCACATAAACAAGTGGCAAATGCTTAGTTATGTCATCTCTACACGAGTTGAGTGAGACATTATGAACTTGGAGTTTCCATTTAGGTTCCATATAACTAACAACTAATTATTCAACTAATCATCTTCAGCATTACAGTTATCTAGTGGTTGAAGCAAAGTGGAGTTTTATAATTATATAAGGAATAAGCATTTACACTTGTTGTGTGTGTCACCCCTAAAGTTGCAAGGAAAATATACTTATATAAGAGATAAGGTTTTCGAGACAAACCTTCCCTATAAATGTCCAGTAAAGTGAAGTTGAGAAGTTCATATGGTCCAAATATATCACTATCAGGAATAAGCCATCCAGTGAACATGCTCCTTATTCGCGAAACCTCACTTCTACTAAACATATTACGTTCGTTGCCACTGGCATTATAAATAGGATAGAGCTTCAGGTACATTTTCAGTCGAGGTCCTTCTTCCCATACCAACGAATCAATATATAGCTGATGAAAATCCACTTGAAGACCAGAGGTAAGGTACTCCTCAAATCTAATTCTGTATGGAGGAAAATCTGAAAGGCCAGGACTCTTCAACCGATATCCAACAAGCAGAGGGGCAGCACAAAAGCAAGATATATTAGATGTAGGGGAATATTCATAAGGAAATGGACATGATTGAGGGGGACAAGCAGTAGTGGAGTTTGTTGTGGAGGGACTTCTAGTATCATTCTGACTTCGAGATCCACACAGCTGGTTTAAACTTAAGTCGTCATTTTCGCACACAGGGTTCCCTTTGAGCCTGAAAATTGTTGACATAAATATCCATGCTAGTCATTAGAGTTAAATTTTAAAAGCAAGTTTAGAAGCAAACCAGAGAGTGACATTTGGAGGGAGGTTAATGCTGCCTGAAATATTAGTTAGCATATTGTTCTCAAGATCCCTGTAAGTGTCAAAGAGCCAAAAACCACTGCTTAGCAACACAAGACGCTACAAGAATGATTAAACATTCTAACAAATTGTTGCACCTTTGACCTCAAACAAAAACACATAAGGCTGCTGAAATCAACCAAGGAAAATTAACTTTTTAGCTCAGCATATCAGGTCCAAGATGTTTGAGGTGCAGAGTTGACAACATTTAAAAAGTTAGAGCACATGTGCGTTTTTTAGTTCTTACAGGGTAAGACTCTCTGTTGCATTCAAAGTCTTGTTCTGCCAAAGGAAGGATGAAATGGAACCATTCAATGAATTATTGGCAAGTGACCTGCAATGGGGAATAACTTCCTACTTGAAAAAAGGCATTTACAATTCACAAAGTACAGAAAAAGAAAAGAAAAAAGAGTTTGGCTTAAAAAAAGCGAAGGAAGACAGAGGAGAAAGTGCTCACAATATCTGAAGATTAGGTAGGCCCGAAAAGTTGGCAGGAATGCTTCCAGTAAGTTCATTGTTGGATAAATCACTGCACATATTGATTACATAAATGTCTAAACTTGTTGAAAACATGAGGTCCATAGTCCACAGGGTTCACAAGATCTTGCAGATACTTCTTAAGCAATATGAAACACAGAAATATGGAGATTGGAAGATTAAGAATCTTACAAGGTTGTGATATCCTGAGAAAGCTGATTTGTAGGTATGGTCCCGTTTAGCTGATTTGAACTAAGATCTCTGAAATTTATATGATAAAGTCACAAGGAGACATAAGTCTAATTGTTGCATCCCATTTTCCTAATGGGAAAACCATGCCATCATACAATTACTTATGACAGAACAGCAAATATATGAACTTACAAATAACCGAGGTGGGGTATCCTGCTTAGATCAGGGATTGGTCCTTGCAAATGACAGTTCCTGAGGCTCCTGATAAAGCCAAGTAGTGCAGAAAGACAACCACTTATTGAATGACAAAGTTGAAGGATTTTATAATATATTCAAGTGCATGCTTAATAGTCACTGAATTGATATAAAGCTTCTAAAACCATTAAGGTTAGGGACAGTTAAAAGACAACATTTAGCTTCAGTAGATACTTAAGTGGCACAAAGTACCGAAGTTGGAATACCATGGGACTCCCTGTTCAAAATTGTCAAGCAATTCTAGTAGGGTAATTGAAGTCATGATGAGTCAGAAAGAAGTTTACAATCTTCTTTTCAATCATTAATATATTTAAATAAGGGCTTGTGCATTCCATTGCTTGTTATTTTGCCAATGTTTTCCTGCTAAATTAATTTTGTAGCATTGAATCTACATACACGACGAATTGCAATGCTTTCTCCTAACGCTTCAATGCTTACATCTCAATTACAGCCTATAAAATAGAACAAAGATGTTAGCACTATGTTCCCCATCTCCACTTTCTACACCTACTTGTAAACAGAAGATACAGATGAGTACTTACAACTTCAACAATTTAGACATGGTGCCATAAGTATCTGGAATTGTAGTCCCATCAAAGTTGTTGTTATCAAGTTGACTGCAAAAGGTAAAGTTAACCAAGCAAAAGATTAATCATGCATTATAATATATGGAAAAGTGATAATTGTTTTTCAAAAGAATAACATCTAGGATACAAATATACAAAACAGGGTAAGTATAACCACATGTCCATTTTTTTTTTTTGAAATTTTTCATAGCAAAAAATGTACTTTTCCTGCACTATACCTATGCCTCAACTTTGCTCAGTGATCTTCTTGTGGTGCTTAACAACTACCCTAGTATAAGTGCTCTGTCTTTCATCTTCATGTTTTAATTTCTTAGCTATATCATGCAGTTCAGAACAAAATATTTTTAGCAACAATGTTGACATCGTTAAAATTTGCACTGATCACATTCAGTTATATAATCAATTGGCACCTGAGCATTTGGTTCATTGATTGGAGCATGATCCCCCTACTTAAAGAGCAGGGTTTGAATCCCCCTTCCCCCAATTAAATAAAAAAGAGTTATATAATCAATTGGTTTTTCCTTCCAAATAAATAGCAAACATGCCATTCCATATACACCTTGTTAAATCAAGTGATTCAATAATTTTCCAACAATTAAACAGTTGATATTTGCTGATTCTGCGCCCTGCTGAATATCTAGTGTTGGATGCTAAAACATATTGTCCTTAACAGTATATCCCCCAAAAGCTGTATTATAAGAAGCATTAAAATGCCAAAAGAAGTCAAGAAATATAAAGAATCAAGTAAAGTCAAGTTTGTCTAAGTTAGAGCATTAATTTAAATTCTCTTATTTCCATGAAAGTAAGAAGAAAACCTACAGGATAGTCAAATTCGGCATTCTGGATAACTCTGGCGGAAGATACCCGGATAAATTGTTATTGTCAAGAAGGCTGCAGAAATTCATTTTGTTAACAACAGATTGACATTATCATGCAGGAAAGCAGAAAAGCGTAGAATAAAACTGAGTTGCAGATGGTCACCAATTTAAATGATAATGGAGATGAATGACATGAGTAAAATTTTAAGACAACAGCTGGCAAGGAACTTACAAGTGAACAAGATATGGTAAACTGGCGAGTTCAGGTGGAATTTGTCCACTAATTGAATTGTTGTTCATGTGACTATTCACCAGGGCAAAAAATGAAACAAATGAATAATAAATGTGAAGCAAAGGTAAAGGAGAAGAAACTAGAAGAAAGGTGCTGATGGGCTGACCAGCAAGAAGAAAAACACTTACAAATGCTTTGTTTTGTTTAAGTTCGCGAATGATCTAGGTATTGGTCCAGATATGTTGTTCTCGTCAATTTGTATTCTGTCTAGATTTGGAAGATAACCAAGTTCTTCAGGCAAAGGACCTGTCAAGTGGTTTCCATTTAGGAGCCTGGAAACAAAGAATATCACATATAAATAACAAAACTAAGCAAAATTCATGCAGTTAGGAAGAATTTCAAAATGACCTATTAGTGTAATCTGCAAAAGTAGACAACTTACAGGAGTTCCAAGGATGCAATATTGCCAATCTCCTTTGGTATACTTCCACTTAAGCTATTCCACATAAAATCCCTTTTGGAAAAGTCAGAAGAATATATATCAGGTAAAAACAAAAACTATATGCAATTATTAAGTGAAAACTGATAAACCTTCCAGAGTCTTTGGCAAAGGGATATCCAAGAATATAATTTGAATTAAGATTTAAGGCAAGTTTGTAAATTATAATAAGTTAAGCCTCACAATATTTTTAGACGAGATAATCGGCCAAGTTCTGGCGATAAAGTTCCTGAAAGATTCATATCCAATAGTTGCCTGCAAAGAACATGACAAAAGGAATAAATTGGCATAACAACATTGTTGACAGAAATGCGTCTTTGCAACCAGGAGCTAGTCTACTCTGAAAGCTGATATTTTGCTTCATGAAATTCTCACTAGAATCAGCATAAGATGCTAGTAAGCGTGCAAAAGTAAATTGACACTTCGAAAAAGGTGAATGCGAATGCGGTTTAAAATGGAGATCACTATTTTCGTGCTGAACACTTACAGTTCTCTAACATGTAGATAGCCATCATCCTGAGTTGTATTGAAGCACAAAACTCCTGTCCAATTAGATGTGCATGGGTCTCCTCGATTCCAATTACTCAAATTCTTATTGGTATCAATCAAACTGCGCTTGATGTCTTGTAATGCCCTGACTACAAATTATGCAAATGGAAATGGTGATCCACATCAAAAATTAAGGACTTCCATCCAACATGGAAAGCAAAAAGGATCTAGTGAAGTTCAGAGGTAGTCATGCTCTTGCATCTCCTGTGAGATGGTGTTGGAGCATGGAGGTGAAAAAGAAAATTTACGGCCTAAAGTCCAAAACTAACCCCATATAATACATCCAATCCAGGATTTGGCAAAGTCAAAGACAAAGTGTGAGCAAAAGATGCTTAAATAGTGCTCACTTCTTACATGCAAACTACGAACAAGAATTGATACGGATATGCTGTGTGAAGTGTAGGCAAAAATTACCTTCAATTGGGTCCGTAATGCCATTTTGTGCTCCAACAAGTAACGAAGACCCAAAGAGCCACATAAAAAAGAAAGCTGCAACTGTCCAAGCCCTTGATGTAGACATCATCAGAATGCGAAACTCAGCAGAGTTCTGAAACATCTATGATAGAACCCAGAGCAGCTGGGAGTTTTTTAAATATCCCTAGACTCCCCCGGGTGCCACCAACAACAAATACGTAAAACCTTCCTTGTTAGATGTATACTGGAGTATATATATACTTTTCGTTCCTTTTGATACTGGATAAGCTAATAGCACAACAAAAGAGGACGAAATTAAACACAACAAAGCAAACTGTGAAGATGAACAGAAGTAGTAGATGAAGAAATCATTGGTGTTACCCTGTTCTGCTGAGCGGAATGAAAAAAAAGGGGGGCAGGGGGGAAAGCGTAAAACCAAGATCTTGGGTTGTGGTGAGTTGGTGTTTGGTATATGTCTGACCAGGTCGACATGAAGAATGCCGCGGAGCTGATAATGATGCTGCTGATGAAACACCATCCGTTCTACTTTCCATTTCTATTTTTATGAATTTATTATTATTATTATTCTCTCTATTGGTAATTAATATATGTATGGGTTGGGTATGGCTTTGACTTTCGTCGGCGGAAAGAGGCACAGGCTTTTGTTTTATACTTTACTCACAGGCAAGAAAGAAAGCCGCTCCCCTACCCAGGCCCCAGGGAGAGATTCACCCCCGACCCCGGTAACTTTGAAACCTCTGCCTTGTACTTATTGCCTCTCCGTCAGTGGTAGCTGTTGTTTTTGTTGGGTAAATAACATAAAACCACCCTGTGACAGTTTCCCGCCAGAGGTCTTTTCCTATCCTGATAATTATTATAAGGTTGAATACCAAATTCATTTGTTTTTATCTTTTAATTGGGTTACAGTCAAAACTTTTAAAACGTGATTAGCATCCTGTCGAAGATGACGTTAAAACACTAAACCCGAACACCTGGAACATTAATTAGTGACAAATGATACATAACCTAACCTTTGTGAAAGTTGGATGGATGCACGGTATGAGCAAGAATTGTAGGTGTGGGTGTAGGTCACAATTAATCTTCAAAATTAAATGTTGCCTGGATTTCCAAGTATGAGCCAATTAAGTAGTAGCTTTAAATTAAGAAAATGAGTTTTGGTTTTTATTTATTAATATGAATATAATCATAATATCTACCGAAATATATATTAGCATCCAAAATGTGATGTAACCATTTTTTTTTGTGTTTAATGATGTCACGTAAATGCGAACGCAACAACATCAAAAGTAAATGTTATTAAAAATATTTTTTATTGAAAGGTAATACTAAAAATAATTAACTAACTGTTCTAGAATCTGATTACTTCCAATATTAATGTATGCCAAAATTGGTTTGAAAAGATGAATGAAGAGATCAACAAAGGTTACGTGCGGAGATAAAAACAATTTAAGTTGAATATGTGATATGCAGTGTTCCAAAAGAAATGACAATATAAATTGAATATCACCAAGACTAAGTATTATATGCAATTGAATGGTTCAGTTATACAGGTTGCTTTTGAGTTTTGATTGAACGCATAAAAGAAAATTGAAAACTGCATGCAGTTGCACCACGTTCTTTAAAAAAACCTTTTTGGTCCAAGGGGCTGGAGGTAAATACAGACTTTGAAAGAATGGACATATACCTACCCGGTAGTTGTTTTGATCGCACAGGCATAGAGCCTATTGGCGTGTAAACTGGCCCGTCTATCCGATAGATTGCGTTAACAAGACTTGGTCTACCCAATGGAGATTTATAGTCAAAGATGGACGCAATGGATGATTTCATGGGAATCAAGTTTCCAAATACAAAATAATTGTTGCCATTCCAATTAAACCAAGTCCAGGCCATGGCAGCTGCATGCATTGCCCATGTTAACACATCATGGGCCGATCGCGAGTCATTAGATTTGAGACTTGAAAATAGGAGCAGTGTTTTTGGACATCATGCAGGCGTAAGTCTTGAAAGCTTTATTTGATAGTTATATACCCAGCACATCAGCATAAAGAGAGAGAGACAAGATAGAAGATGCATGTCAAGAAATAGAGATTTTTTGGTCTTTTAATTTGTTCAAGAAGATGGTTCATTGGATCATGCATGTCCTGCCCGTGGCCAGCATCCGGGTTGTGATATTTCTTCCACCTTGGATACGTCAAAAACCATCTATCAAGTGGCAGCAATAATAAATTATTTATTATGGCTCTAGCTTAGCTAGCTACCTAGATACCACTGGTTTTGGAACGCGTTGCATGCTTGGCCGGCAATATCATGGATTTTAATTACAGGAGAAATCATGTGTTTGGATTTAATTTCAACTCAATTTTGCTCAATTTGAAGGTTTAGATTTCTGATCATTTCTGTGAATAAGCAGATGAAGTCAAAGTCTGCAACCGAGATATTTTAAAATTTGGATAATATCATAATAATGAACGAAAAAGACTCCTTGCATGATGTTTTGACAATTGAGGAACGACATACGGACCAAGTCCAAATTCCTAGTGCTGCGAAAGTGATGGCATTCGCATGCGCCTCATCATCACCACGCCATCAGTTTTCTTCCTTCTTCGAATGGGCCTAGCCATTTCCATAAGCAAATGGCGTTACATGGGCTTCAAGATTTGCCCAAACTTAGAAGCAGCAGTTCCTTCACAGAGCCTTGTAAAATGCTTTCGGGCCAAGCTCGCAAACCTCACAGTTACGGGGGACACTTATGCTTCCCTACCCTACCCTGACATTGGAGGTTGACATTATTGAAAGCCAGAAAGCTATGGTTCAATACAGGCCACAATTTATATGCATGAAGAGCACAAGTTAGAGAGAGGGACCGACCAGCGAGCTATTGGCTCCTCATAGACTAAAGTTACAACTTTGCAAGTTGCAAAGTTGTCATAGTTTTGGAGCCTCCTGGTTCCCGCACATGCAAAACCCAGAAACCAGAATCATCCTTCTCCATCACCTCTATCCGGAACCCCAGATGCATTCTTCTTGTACAGATACACAATTTCACCTATTCCTAAGTTCCTTTCGTAAATGCAAGTAAAATCTTACTGAATACTGTAATTAATTTGGTCGAAACAGTCTAATAGTTTCCTCGCTGAAAGTATATGCGGCATTGCCTTGCAAACAATTCAATTATTAAAGTAAGAGGAAAGCCTCCTACAGTTTTATATAGCCACATGGTTCAAAACTTATATAATTTTATTATGTATTAACTTGAAGAATGTTATGGTTCTGATTATACAACAAACAATTGGTTGATGTGGGCTATTGCTACCATTTTCAAAATGTATTAAGTACGTATATGAAAACAACCCGAATATGATGGATGGATCGGATAGGCAACATGTTTTTATAAAATCGAAAGTGATGATTTAGATATTAATTTTTTTATATATATATATATTATGTGTGTGTGTGTTGATAAAGCGGGTGGATGGTACGAAACTTGCAACAAATATATGGTACGTTCGTGGTCGGTAGGGATGAAGGGAGAGACAAATATTCTCATTCCCCAAAAATTCCTAAATCGCGAAAGTAGAAAATGAATCAGAGTTTTCCAAGTATTCGAGTGGGCCGCTGTGGCACAACATCTGACGTGTGGAGCTGGTATTGGTTTATTCGGCTGATTACTTGATTTCTATGGGTGCCCACCCCATGTTATCTAGTCCAACGGATCGAGGGCGAAGGTGACGGTGGGGTTGTCAGAGGACGTGGGAAGACGGCAGCCAAAGCTTTATGACGTTGTCAGCTGGACAAGTAGCAACCACATATTTGAATGGCAGAAGACAACTTTATTGCCTATTGTCTCTCAATGATCGATGTTTCTGTTCCCGTCAATTTACTTAATAAGTGGATAATTAATGGATAAGTTATCGATACCACTACGGTAATATTAAATAAGCTGACCCATAGTTCAATGCCAGTTGATATGCCCACTTTATCCTTTGAGCCGGCTTCTTCAGGCACTGCCATAGCCATACTATTTGAGCCGGCTGTAACATAAAAATTAATTCTTAGGTGAGTATTTGTGTATTTTAATCGTATTTAATGATTAATTAAATATTATTTAAAATTATAAAAATGAATCCCATTTTTGTACTGAAATTAATTCTAAGACTTTAACACATGTATTGTAGCTTAAATTCGTTTTCTTTTTCATTTTCTTTTTCCATGCTTGCTTATACATCTTTCACAATTTCATTATTATAAGAATTAAGATGAACATAGCCAAGAAACAGATTTAGCTGCGACTGCGAGCTACCTTTTGTTGTCCTTGAACAGTTTTAGGGTAGAATGGTCCATCAACAATGTACTGCGAAAGAAGCATGTCACCACTCACCACAAGAGAAGAGGAGTAAAAAGCAAGCTCAAAGAGCTAATAAGATAATTGGAACAAAAAATCTCTATAAAATTGAATCAACTTAATTAGAAAGAAATCCTATTCTTATCCGTACCTCTCTTCTTGCTCCAACCAGCGCGCCCATGGCTACCCCTGTGATGAGCAACAGCAGGATGTCCGCTGCCATGGAGAGGACCGGCCAGTGGTAAAATATTATATTAATTAAATAAGCCTCCCGACAAACATGTACTACTACTACTACTTCCTATACAGATTGTCGTAGTTAGATTCTTAATTATCATTTCTGGTTCATTTCAGGGTTTTTTCTCAAGAAATCCCGACTGATGTTGTAGTTGAAGTTGGTGAAGCCAATTTCAAACTTCATAAGGTGCGTATAAAAGCCTTTTTTCAAGGAAGAAAGAACAAATTAGGTAGTGATTCATCATTAGTTTAGAGTGAGTACGTAATCAATTAATGCAACGGGCATGCGCGCAGTTCATGCTGGTGGCAAAGAGCAATTACATAAGAAAGCTGATATTGGAAACAAAAGAAGCAGACTTGACAAGAATCAACCTGTCTGACATCCCCGGAGGCCCTGAGATCTTCGAGAAGGCAGCAAAATTCTGCTACGGTGTCAATTTCGAGATTACAGTCCACAACGTGGCTGCTCTCCGATGCGCTGCAGAGTATCTCCAAATGACAGACAAATACTGCGACAGCAATCTGGCAGGGCGCACCGAAGATTTCCTCTCTCAGGTTGCCTTGTCTAGCCTTTCTGGCGCCGTCGTCGTCCTTAAATCATGCGAAGATCTGCTTCCCATGGCTGAGGAGCTTAAAATTGTTCAAAGATGCATTGATGTCGCTAGTGCTAGGGTACTATATAGCTTTCATCAGCAATATTTACTTGCAATTTATTAATTTACTCATATATAGTTCAATTAAAACATGGATCAATCTCCCACAGGCTTGTAGCGAGGCGAATTTCCTTGCCGTACGCCTCCAAACTGGTGGACGAAGAGCTATCGATCCTTGACGTTGAGTTGTTTGGCAGAATCATTGCCGCAATGAAACAACGGGGCGCAAAAGCTCTAACCCTAGCCAGCGCTCTCATAACTTACGCAGAGAGATGGCTCCGGATCTAGTACGCGACCACTCAGGCAACGGCATCCAGTGTTCCGAGCCTACCGACTCTGATCTTCGAATCCAACAGCGTGAGCTTTTGGAGTCGATGGTGGGCGCTGTTTCCCGCAGAGAAAGCTGCTTTTCCAATCCACTTCTTGTGTTGCCTTCTCCGCTGTGCAATTTTCCTAAAAGCCTCCAGTGCTTGCAAAAACGAGCTGGAGAAACGGATCGCCGTCATACTGGAACATGTCGCGGTCGATGATCTCCTCGTCTTGTCTTTCACATACGATGGGGAGAGTCTCTTGGATCTGGATAGCGTCAGGAGGATCATTTCCGGATTCGTGGAGAAGGATAAGAGCATGGCTGTTTTCAACGGCGGCAACTTTAGGGAGGTAACTTCCAGTGCGATGCAGAGAGTTGCAAAGACCGTAGACGCATACCTCGGGGAGATAGCAACGGTCGCGGAACTCACCATCGCCAAGTTTAACGGGATCGCCATACTCGTCCCTAAAGGAGCCAGAAAGGTGGAGGATGATCTCTATCGGGCCATTGACATCTATCTCAAGGTTCATAAATTAATTAAGCACTCCGGATCTTCAATATTTTTAATAATTACTCCATTGACAAAGAAAAAAGAAGGGAACGGAATGCTTAAAAACTGTGTACATGTTGATTAGCACTCCATTAGCATTAAGTACTTGTGCATATGTTACATATATATGTATATATATGTATTGCTTTAATTAATTAAGTAATGCAGGCTCACCCAAATCTGGATGAGATAGATAGAGAGAAGGTTTGTAGCTCCATGGACCCCCTGAAGCTGTCTTACGAAGCTCGAGTCCATGCTTCCCAAAACAAGCGGTTACCCGTGCAGATCGTTTTGCACGCTTTGTACTATGATCAGCTGAAGCTAAGGAGTGGTGCTGTGGATGATCGTGAGCGCAACGCGGCAGACGCCGTGGCGACGAGGAATCAGTTGCAGGCAGATGTGGCGCTGGTAAAGGAGAACGAGGCCTTGCGATCCGAGCTTATGAAGATGAAGATGTACATATCCGACTTGCAGAAGAACAATCAAGGAACTTGTTCAAAGAGTGCTGCAGGGAGCAGAAAGCCTACCTTCTTCTCTTCCATGTCCAAGACTCTAGGGAAGCTAAATCCCTTCCGACATGGCTCCAAGGACACTTCTCATATCGATGACAGCGCTGGCGTGGACGTCACCAAGCCTAGGAGAAGAAGATTTTCAATCTCTTAAATACCACCTGGCTTAATTAATTACCATTATATATATATATATGTGAATATATATATATATATATATATATGTATGTGTAGGGCCTTCTACTTAGGGAAGGGTTTAAGATTGGCTTGTGATTCTTAATTTTATTCTTTTATGCTTTTCTGTATTTGTGATGACAAACGTTGTTATTTACATAGCTAGGCTGGTGAATTTGTGCAGAAAAATATCACAATGGTTTTCATTCTTTTAAATAGTTTTACCCTGCCTTTGTGCGTTATTGATAAAACAACTTGTGTTAAATGATTGAAAATTTAAAATTATAGCACAAAATTTATATAATATATATATGCATATAAAAAGATCAACAAACTATAAAAAGATGGATCCACAATTTCTTTGGCATAGAAAAAACAAGAAAATTATTTTTTCAGGTGGCCAAATCAGACTTGATGATCTGTGATGCGAGCTCAGGTCAAATTATAGTATAATTTTGTTTTTATATTACAAGTTATTTTTTCACGTAAAATGAAATCAACGTAATTAAATAATATTACACATTATTTTTTTGAGATAATTCTACATTCAAGTAAAAATAATTTGTTCTCTTGATCCTAACAATTTTAACATTATTCTTTTCTTTTAATATAATTTAATTAAATTAAAACAATTAAGTCCAAATTAACGAAATAATTTTCATAGCCCAACACTTTTGGGTTCCAAAATTTTGGTCCTAAATTAGATGAGCCCAATAAGCCCAAATACGAATCAAGCTCTACCCGCCCAATCATTTCTCCCGCGCAGGCGAGGGCCCTTTTTTTATTACAAAAAAAAAAAAAA